AAGACAGCAAGCGTAGAGCTGTCTGCCCTGCATTTAAGTATGTTGGATGTCACACTCAAGACGGGCAGAGCAGCAGCAAAGACCCCCTGGGTAAAGCTACATGCCCCAAGGCGGGGGGAGCAGCAGCACAATCCCCCCAGTGAGTGAAAATGAGCAAATAAAGGTCTGGATTCCTAAATTGAGATGTACTTTAGAAGAAAAACCCCCTGTCCTTTATTTGGTCTTTGGTTTTATGAGAGAGCAATAAAGATGGAAGTAAAACTGCTTCTCCAGATTCATCGTGCTTCATTTATCTCAGAGCTAACTTTATTTTCTGCACTAAAACTCACATTTCAGTGTCTTTCTACAGGTGTATGTTTGTGTTTTGACGTTTTTGGATTCTTTCTTTTTACGTTCTCCTGAATAAAAACTTTACTCTCTGTCTTTTTAAATGAAGAGATAAATATACTCCAAGTTATGAAACTAGTTAAAGAAAATCTGTACTTGTTGCTCTTCAACTTTGTCCTTTTTTTTTCTTTTGGGATTTTGGAAAAACTACTAAAGGAGATTATAGAAACAGTTTCTGTGTGTAATGAAAGTCTGGTCTATTCTGGGCTCCGATTACACCCATTCAGTCTGCTGCAGCGAGCTCAGGTCAGAGTGTTTGAGACACCGCGAGACGCTCCACAGACTGTTTCTATGATGACGCAGAGGCCAGTTTAGCTCTGTGTGGTTTGTGTAGGAGTGTGAGACTCTGTGAACTCTGCAGTCGAGTGTGTGTGAGTGTGTTACTTTAAATGTCAGTCAGAGTTAAAACCACCAAACACACCCTGACACCCCTCACACTGCTGTTACTCTCTCAGACGGCCTGATTTGCAGCAGTTTGTGCAGCCTGAGTCCTGCTGTAGTTTGTATCGTAAAAATGACGTTTTCATGCTTTTCAAGTGTTTTGGAGGGAATATAACTGTGATCACCAGCAGTTTTCTTTTTTTATACACCATGCTGAGGTTTGCAGATGATATTTACCACTGCAACATCTCACTTCATGGAAGCACACTGAAGATCTGAAGTGAAAGATTTGCTCCAATCTCCAATCCAAAGTCAGATACAATATAAAACAACGTATCTGTTGTTGATTCGGTGGCTTTCAGGAGTTTGCAGAAAAGTCTGTTTAAGTAACGGATTAAAACTGAACATTCAAGCTGCTCTAGTCTGCAGGATCTGCTGAAGCTCGGATGTCCGTTTCTTGTATTTGCAAAAAGGCTGAAGAGCAAGTCCATACCAACGTTCAAACACAACGTTTAGGTTATGGAAGTGAAATTATGACTAAACCTGAAGCCCTGTACTTACTCAGAGGGATACACCCCTGCTATAAGCAACATGCTCAATTTTTGCAGGGGCTGAGTGCAGCATAATTTCAAAAAGTTTATCTGAAGCACAAGAAGCAAATATAACTTTATAAAAATGAATGTGCAGAATGTCAAGAAACCCTTTCTGCAGATGAAAAATACTGAACTCAGTTTTCAACCTCACGGTGGAGCTTAAGGAAAACTTGAATCACTTTCAGTCCATAAAGGGGTCACAAAAGTCTGTGCCAAAGTTCAGGCCATCCAGCTGGCAAACATTGGAGACACAGACATCCAAACTGTGTCTCCAGTGAGGTTTTGGATGTGCAGAGGTAAAATGATCGTTCAGCCTCATTCCAGTTTTCTGCTGAATTTAATCCTGCAGCTCTTCCTCCTCATCATCAGCTCACTTTTATTATTATTATATTTCATCCAAATAAGCATTGCTCAAAAGTCTGGACTCCTGATTTAGTTTTTACACATTGAAATGACAAATAGATAAACATTATTTTGAAAGAATAACGGTGAAGGTCAACTTAACTACAGGAAAAATGTAAAGAGTCTGAAAGCCGCATGAGTCTACTCTGAGTTTCTTTCTTCTCTCTGCAGCTGAAGTTTTTTATCATTCCTGTGGTTTAGTGAAACACAGAGCTCTTAAAAAGGAAAAAGTTAAAATCTTACAGACTCACGATTTTATCATGTACACTTATTAGAACTACCTTATTGAAACGAGTTATAGGGGAGACCGGGGCTTGTTGTCACAATTGTAAGTTGTCGCATTTGCTATTGATTGCCACAGGAGGGCGCAACTAAAAAGTGGAATACTACTTTTATTTCTTTACATGGTCAGGGGTCGTGTCCTGAGAAGAGCACATTGTGAGCTGAGATGAGCACCAATCAACCATTTTGCACAACCCAAAGTAAAAATTTTAACTTCATATATTTTAAAAAAAGCTTCTTCCAGATAAAAATCCTAGCAGTGATACATGTGGACTTGTTAGAGGAGAGATTAAGACATCTTGTCATACCTCAGTCATTGTCCTGTTTTAAGCTAACTTTAAGCTAGAGCTAGAATTAGTAAACATGGTAGTTTGGGGCAACATGTCTCAGTCATTTTGGGGTTAGTTATCACGCGTTTAAATTAACTTTAGAGAGTCTGCTTATCAGCAGTTGTCATTGAAAGTTTGACTTTATCTTTACAGAGAAAAAAGTGGTTTAAAGGGAAAGAGAAAGTGAGAAACACATGGTCAGGAATTTCAAAAGAAATAAAGTTGCATAATATTTCATGTTAATGTTTTTCTAGCTCAATGATAACCATTTTCTGTGCCTGACTTTGATGTTCACTTTAAGGTAAAAAAAAAGAAAACTACTATAATTTTGTCCTTGTTTTATTAGCTGCAAAATCCACTGTGACATCTTACTCCATATAGTGTGACAACTAACCCGATGGTGGGGCAACGTGTCACATGTTCACACTCTCTATTTGATTGCTTTTAACTCCACACTGACACAAGATATGAAAATGACATGAATATGAAATATTTCCAAGAAATATACAGGAGTTTAAAAAGTGTGATAACAAGCCCCGGTCTCCCCTAATGTAACACCACCTACAACAGGGGTGGGCAATCATGTGCCATGGAGGGCCGAGAGGCTGCAGGTTTTCTTTCCAACCCAAAACTTCACCAGGTGATTTCACTGATTAGTCCCTGCTCTCTGTTTGGAGGTAAGGTAATTAGTGAAATCACCTGGTGGAGTTTTGGGTTGGAAAGAAAACCTGCAGCCTCTCGGCCCTCCATGGCACATGGTTGCCCACCCCTGACCTACAAGATGACTTTCTTGTCGGAACATATGTGCACACAAGATAACCTATATTGCGCACACAAGACATTCCCAAGTGTTCACACTGTTACCAACGTTTGCACACAGGATTAACTTTGCTAAACATAATTTTAACATTTCTGCACAAAATAAAAAATAAAGTTGTTATAAATGGATAATTATGCTGGTGTTGAAGTGATTGTGTGAGGACAGGTTTCTATTTTACACATATTTATACACTCACCGGCCACTTTATTAGGTACACCTGTCCAACTGCTCGTTAACACTTAATTTCTAATCAGCCAATCACATGGCGGCAACTTAGTGCATTTAGGCATGTAGACATGGTCAAGACAATCTCCTGCAGTTCAAACCGAGCATCAGTATGGGGAAGAAAGGTGATTTGAGTGACTTTGAACGTGGCATGGTTGTTGGTGCCAGAAGGGCTGGTCTGAGTATTTCAGAAACTGCTGATCTACTGGGATTTTCACGCACAACCATCCCTAGGGTTTACAGAGAATGGTCCGAAAAAGAAAAAATATCCAGTGAGCGGCAGTTCTGTGGGCGGAAATGCCTTGTTGATGCCAGAGGTCAGAGGAGAATGGCCAGACTGGTTCGAGCTGATAGAAAGGCAACAGTGACTCAAATAACCACCCGTTACAACCAAGGTAGGCAGAAGAGCATCTCTGAACGCACAGTACGTCGAACTTTGAGGCAGATGGGCTACAGCAGCAGAAGACCACGCCGGGTGCCACTCCTTTCAGCTAAGAACAGGAAACTGAGGCTACAATTTGCACAAGCTCATCGAAATTGGACAATAGAAGATTGGAAAAACGTTGCCTGGTCTGATGAGTCTCGATTTCTGCTGCGACATTCGGATGGTAGGGTCAGAATTTGGCGTCAACAACATGAAAGCATGGATCCATCCTGCCTTGTATCAACGGTTCAGGCTGGTGGTGGTGGTGTCATGGTGTGGGGAATATTTTCTTGGCACTCTTTGGGCCCCTTGGTACCAATTGAGCATCGTTGCAACGCCACAGCCTACCTGAGTATTGTTGCTGACCATGTCCATCCCTTTATGACCACAATGTACCCAACTTCTGATGGCTACTTTCAGCAGGATAATGCGCCATGTCATAAAGCTGGAATCATCTCAGACTGGTTTCTTGAACATGACAATGAGTTCACTGTACTCAAATGGCCTCCACAGTCACCAGATCTCAATCCAATAGAGCATCTTTGGGATGTGGTGGAACGGGAGATTCGCATCATGGATGTGCAGCCGACAAATCTGCGGCAACTGTGTGATGCCATCATGTCAATATGGACCAAGCTCTCTGAGGAATGCTTCCAGCACCTTGTTGAATCTATGCCACGAAGAATTGAGGCAGTTCTGAAGGCAAAAGGGGGTCCAACCCGTTACTAGCATGGTGTACCTAATAAAGTGGCCAGTGAGTGTATATATATACTATATTGTGCGTTCATGCTTTCATTCTTATGTAGGTTCCTGAAAGTGCAGCAGTTTCGGCATTAACATCCTTCTTCACACTGCGCAGACTCCATCCATCATAAAACAGAGAAGAAGCGAAGTTAATAAATGTGAGAAAGTTGTAAGTGGGGGAGGGAGACAGGTCGTAACCCCCTCCTCCTCCTGCTGCAGACTCTCGATAGGCCCACTCTCAGTCTTTGTCAGTCTGCTCAGCATGTCGTTACAAAGACCCTATCTTTGCTCACAGTAAAACCACACAGGAAACTAAAGGAGCAGAGAGGGAGGACGGCGGAGATTCTGGTGGTGTCATGTCATAGAAAGGAACCACTGTCTCCAGTTTTTGTGTTTTTACGCGCGGTGGAGAGATGGACCCGATGCGCACAGAGCGGAGCGCTCTGCCGCTGTTCTTCCTCCCCCTCCTCCTGCTGGCTCTCTCCGTGTCCTCCGTGGCAGCCTGGGACCTGGTTCTCCTCCACACCAACGACGTGCACGCCCGGGTGGAGGAGACCAGCAAGCACTCGGGGAAATGCGGCGGCAGTGGCGGCTGCTTCGCCGGTGTGGCCCGTAGAGCCACGATGATCAAAAGGATTCGGACCTCCGAGAGCAACGTGCTGCTGCTGGACGCTGGAGACCAGTTCCAGGGGACGGTCTGGTTTAATTACTATAAAGGAGCAGAGGCGGCATACTTCATGAACAAGCTGCAGTATGATGCCATGGTGAGAAACACACACTGATACTCTGGACAGGGTTAATCTGTCACTCAGACGTCCTCTCTGAGAAGTTCACTATCACTTCTGACAGATATGAACTTTAATGCTTCTAAATAAGGTGAAAATGCATGAAGTATGGTATTAGTATCTGGAGTATTAGACAGTAAAACAGCTGTTCATGATGCATCTGTAGCTCAGGTGATAGTAGGAGAAAATTAAGACTCCTACACCACCATGTAGGGCTGGGCGATATAGGAAAAAGTTTATCACGATATAGTTTTTTTCATATCAGTAGATATTGATAAATATCACGAAATAAAAAAGGAATTTTAACAGTGCTTATTGATAGTCTGTCTTTTGCAGTACATTAAGCTACTGCATCTGTGAGGTCCTTGTGTCTCTTCGACGTTTTGGCATAAAGCGTTGCTATAGAAATAATCAAACAAAACTTCTTCAGCATCAAACAAAAATGAGAATTTGAGAGAGAATAAAGGTCCTTTCACACCGGGACCTTTTTTTTTTGTGCGATTATTTCGGATGTCTATATTTTTTTTCCAACCCGTATCCTGTCAATACAAGCGTTCACATCAACGACGTTTTCCCCGTTCTGCGATATTGCGGCAATTATTTTTTCGGGTCATGGTCGATTTTTCTAAAGTTTCACATACTGTGTGTCCACTTCTGACCAATCAGATTGCGTGTTGTTGCGACATTAGATTCACCGGTATATCCAACATGGCTGACCGGCTGATTGTTTACGTGTCAGAGAACAGAGTGATTTTTGATAAAAGACACAAACATTACAAAGATAACGACCTGAAGGACAACTCGTGGAGAGTCATAGTGTCGGATCTCTCATATGACGATAGTTTGTGTGCTTTAACAGTTTGCTAAACGTCTTTGTTTTAACTTTCGTCTGTGCTAAGTAACTTTAGCTCGTAAGCTAACCTGTTCAGATACAACATACCGTATGTATTTTCACTGTCTCAAACTCAATTGCGTTGCTGTCACAGCACCATTAGGTCTCGGTTGTTACCTTACGTTTATGAATTATAGTTTAATGTGCTTCTCGCTTCTTACCAGGATGTGTCTTTTTCCCCCTGGATAGTCGCAAAATCGCATCGGGCTTGATGTGTATATTCAGGCGCGTCAAAATTCTCCTCCAAGTATTTCGTAATTTGGGTTCTATATTTGTGCCGGCCCTGGTGTGTAAGGACCTTAAAACTCAATGAAGGAAAAATAAAAGTCATCTCAGTAGTGAAACGTAATTTGCAAACAAATTATTTGCGCAATTGTGTAAACTACTGGTCTTTTACTTCTTGTCATTTATCCTTTTGTTTACAGTATCCTAACAGTTTCTTTCTCGCTGACCAGATTTTTGCGATCACTGCACGTTTTACAGTCTCGCTACCAGCTCTCACATTTGCGCTCCCTGAGTTTTTGTTTGTGATTCTGAGCGGGACTTTTCAGGGGTGCAGCACCATTGGCTCGTGAGTTTTTGAGTGACAGCTCAGTGGCCAGTGTTGTGCCCAGGAACGCATGCCTGCCGAGAATTGCATGAAAGTACAGTTGATATCTTTTTGTGTCATTTTTGTTGAATAGACCTTGTAGCATAAACATTTTATCTACCTAAACGTTTGACCGGTGAGTGATTTCATTTCAACTGGAAAACGCAAACCCATGATGATTGATTGAATTGAACTGTGTTACGAGTGTCACCACTGTTCTGTGGTGATTGAGCCTGCTGTTTAATTTTTTTATATGTCGTAATAGTTTTATTGCCCAGCCCTACCACCAGGTTAATCCTACATCTAATGAACCTTGTACCGTAACACCAGGAGTGTCTGAAAAGTTAGATAAAAACAGCATCAAAGAAGACCAGTCTGCTGCCTCGTCTCCAGTCATTCAACAAAGTGAAGAAATGTTGCAGCAACTCCTCAAAGATCAGACCTGCAGCTTCATGTTAAACCAACATACAAGCTCAAGTGTGAAGCTCCGAGCTGCAGATGAACCAGACTGTGGCCTCTAAAAGGTTTTTCTTGATTTATTGATTCAGGTCTGACGGCCTCATTTAGTTTTAATCAGGCTAATGGCAGCAGGTCAAAGAGAAACGTTTCACTGATCAGCTTTGTGGACCTTAAACTCTGCAGCAAGATCAGAGGAGATCAGATTCATTCAAACTACAGATGGAGAGTCGAGGCCAAATAAAGCTTCAAAATGACATGCTTTTACTTCTGTTAGTCTTCACTAAAGAAGAGTTCAACTAAAACCTACTGAGCCCCTTCAGCATCCATTAGGAGATCATTTAATGTCACATGTTCAAATAATAACATATTATCAACCCTGTGAAGGCAGTGTCCGTCATTTATCATTGCCTGATACTAAAATGACTTATTTTTCCAGTAATCTGCTGTTTTGATTCAGTCAAATGTTCATTATTCAGTTTTTCTTTCTTTGATTGTGATACAGCAGTTAATCATCGGCATACAGACAGACTTTGATATCTAAAAACTAAGTATGGATTATACATGACTGGAGTAACTCATGAAATGACGCTTAGCTGCCATCCCTAAAGGCTTATTATGGAAGATGACTGGACTACATTTGATTTAAATTCATAGTTTTCTAGAGCAGACAATTTTTTTTTATCTGTGAACAGCTCAGTCTTTGAGTTTTTTAAGGTTTAGAGTTTCCAGAGTTTTTGTCTTTTTTTTAAGCTGATTCAAAGACTTGTGTATCTGAAAAAGCAGCGTTTCACTTGTGTAGTTTTGGCTGTTCGTGGCGTATTTACCGATGAGTGTATTTCTAAAGAGCGGCGTCACAGTCATATCTACAGACTGTAGATAAGAATGAGGCTCTTCTCGGCTTGGCTGTTTGATTTCTGGTTAATTTTCACACTGTTAAATAACTGATATGGAGAAGCTCCATGTGGACTCAGACTTTGTTTTTTCTCTTGTTCCTCTTCGCTTTCCGTGCCTGAACTCTGTGCCTACCGTCATCCATCCTCTCCTGTCTGTAAACAATCACAGCTCTGTTTCCTCTCACTCTTACTCTGTAATGAGCCACGGCGCACTTTTACAGACCAGAAGGTTAATGTGCGTTCACAATCAGACACTGAAGAGTCTAAACAAACCGAGGGTCCAGTATGCTCAGGGTTACTGGACCCTGAGGGGCTGAAAACAAGAATAATGAATAAGCAAACCTCTTCTTTGTTACCTTTGAGCACAGCGAGGTCAAAGGTTGATGTTTGGCAGGCTGATGGCGGCACATCTCCCAGCTGTAGTTTAGAAGTTTACAGCCTCTCCGTCTAACAGCTGATCCTGAAAATGATCAACCTCTGGGATTTTGTACAAGAGGAGATCATTAACAGAGAAGTGGTTTAAAAGCTCATGTCTGGAAGAAGAAGTTATATTAAAGCATTGTGGATTAAAACAAATGTATTTCCTTTTTAAACTGAGGAGTCAGGGAGTGAAAAGGATGAAAAAAGCCTTTATAAAGCACTCTGTGTGGGATAGATGAGATGAAATCAGTATAATAAAAACACAGAGGCTGTCTGACTGTGACAGAGATCATTATCCTTTACAGCTCAGGGTGTACGTTTATGCAAACTCACGGTGGAAATGCAGTTATGATGAATCACTTCCCAAAAGAACATTTTGTTTCAGATCAGTTTTGTTATTTTCTACCAAGTCATTTTGTACAAGAACATTTCAGGTCATATCTAAGCATACTGTAAGATATCATTTGTACCATATTTGGAGGTTTCCTTTTGAAGAGCAGAGGTAACTGCAGCCTTAAAGAGTTCAATTTAGTTGATTATTCTCAGAATTCAGATAACGTTTTTATGGATGTGTGACCAAACAGGAGTGTCCACACTCTAAAAACTCTTGGGTTATTTCTTCAACCCAATTCCTGGGTTATACATGTTAAGTTAAATTTCTGGGTTATTTTTCAGATCCATCCCCATTTCTTGGGTCATATGAATTCTACTTTAACCCAATTTGAGGGTCATTTGAATGGGTTAATAATTATGGGTTATTTTTATGAGAGTAACCCAATAATTGGGTCAGACCGTTGGGTTTGTTGACTCTATGTGGTTTCTAGGCCTAATGGCAATTGAAGCGACCTGGTGACATTTAGACTAGAGATAGCTCAGCGGGTAGAGCATCCGGTTCCCTACCAGGGGGTTGGGGTTCAAATCCTGCATGTAGACACATCTGTAAGGAGCGAACGACATCTACTAGTGTGGGTCCTTAGGCAAGACCCTTAGTGCTATGGCCTACCTCAAAAACATGAGTGCGTTACCATTGAAAGCCAAACAGACTCAGACCCTGAGGCCAAAGCAAAGCTCCCCAAATGCATATATAAACTTAACCCAAGATCTTGAGTCAAACTAAGTAGAAGAGTGGGTTAACTTGACCCTTAAAAAGAGTTATTGAGTCAAACCAAATTAATTTGAATAACCCAACAGTCTGGGTCAAAATAACCCAGTAAGTAGTCGGTCCCTTTTCAACCCTGGTGTTGGCTTAAAAACAACCAACTTTGGTTATTTTTAACCCAGGGGTTTTTAGAGTGCATGTGCCTGACTCATGCCTTTTTTTTTTTGCATTATGGTTTTCTTTTAAAATTAGTCTTTTGTAGAAATAAAAATGGCGTGGTGCTCGTTCTGTTGTTTGACCTCAAATGTTTCTGTCATGTTTTTTAGGTTTTTGGAAATCACGAGTTCGATAACGGGGTGGACGGACTCATGAAGCCGTTCATGGAGAAGATCAAGTGTCCTCTCCTCAGTGCAAATATCAAAGCAGACGCAACTCTGGCCCCGACGTTTGGACACTCTTACTTACCCTATAAGATCCTCACAGTGGGCGGGGAGTCAGTGGGCGTGGTGGGATACACGTCTCAGGAAACTCCAGCTCTGTCTCAGCCTGGTGAGTGGAAGTGGACATTTTTTTTTAGACACTCCTGAGCTGTCGTGATTCAGATAGCATCCCTCAAACAATTTTTTTCTTTTTCTTCTTGGGATGATGACTGTTGTGAATTGGCGCTATGTAAATAAAAATTTGATGATTGGTTTGATTGACCTGTCCGTGTCGTCCTGCAGGACCTCACCTGAAGTTCGAGGACGAGGTTTCCTCCCTGCAGCTGCAGGTGGACAAACTGCAGACGCTGGGAGTGAATAAGATCATCGCTCTGGGTCACTCAGGATTCACCATGGACCAGGAGATCGCCAAGAAGGTCAGAGGGGTGGACGTCGTCATCGGTGGACACACCAACACTTTCCTCTTCACAGGTGGATACACCTTTATTCATGTGGCGAAAGGTCTCAGTATTTGAGTTTATTTGACTTTTACAGCCTGACAGAAAGTTCAGCTGCAGGTTTTGTTCTGTCTGCTGCTCGTTACCCAGATGGAAATATAATACATGAGGAGAAAACATTTGAAGAGAAAACATACACGGAAATCATGGAAATCCTTTTCTGAACCAGTCAGACTCAGGGTGATTTAGGGGGGCAGACTGTTCGAGCTGATTGAAACCAGGACCTACAGATTATCTTTGGACGCCGTTACAACAGAAAAACCCGCTCACTGCTCATCATCTCTTACATAACTTACTGGAAACCGTTTCCATAGCTGCAGGTTTGGTTGTTATATTTTCTCTCTCTCTCTGTGAGCTGTTTTTGCTCCTGATGGCAGGAAATTGCGACTATACAAACTTGAGGTTAGCTTTTAAACAAATATTGTGTGAGCAGCACTGTGGTCTCCATAAATAAAACAGCTGAAGAGTCATAGAGCAGACAGAGGAAGGTAGCATTTGTTTTTCTGCTGTGAGGTCAGGCTGTGTTTGACTCTGATAATGCAGATCAGGACTACAGGAAGACAATGTTTGGATTCAGGGAGGAGGCAAGTCCAAAGGGTTGACAGTGATGCTTTTAAGACATCCCTTATGTGTAGAGAAACTCACTATAACAAACTAAAAGGTGAACTTCATAAAGTGCAGAGATGTTTCAGAGGGTCGCTGGTTTTGCAGTTTCTGTAACGTTTGCAGAATTCAAACAAATGTTTATATAAAATCAACAAGCCATAAAGATGTCTTCCTAAAACTGTGTTAATCACGTCTGTGTGTGTCTGAGTTTAAACCACCATGAGGTCCAAACTGGGGCTGAGCCAGAATCCCCAACCCCCACTGTCACAGCTTTCATTCCACTCATGAATATCTCCACTGACACAGTTTTTGAAGTTTCCACACTCTTTGTTTCTTCAGAGTTTTTACAGAACTCTGCCTGGTTGGATTTAACTTGACCTCTGTAGGAGTTTTTAACTGAATTGTCCTTTAATTTATTCATAAAACAGACAGTCAGCGACAGCCCTGTGGTGTTTGAAGAAGCAGCAGAAACTGCCCTCTCTAAGGAATGTGATAACTTGTGATTATCTGGGGGGAATATTTCCAGGTTTGCCAAAAATGTCTGTGGGAGGATTCAAGAGGAGCTTCATCTGAAGAGAATTTATTACATTTGGCTTCATTTTTATTTATTTTTTATCCCTGAAACACCTCCTGCAACATTTTGACAATCCCTCTTGATCCCCCCTCAAGGATGTTTTTATGGTTTTATATCTCTCTGACACACAGTTACAGTGTTTCCTCTCTCTTGACTAGCTGGCAAACATCTCTAAAGCTTTAACATATCAGAGGTAACTGAGGATGTTAGTGCTAAGCTCACATTTTGATGACTTACTATATATCTGACACTAAAACTCTTGGTTTAAGTTAAAGCTGTACTTTTAAGTACCTGTGGCTATTTAAAAAAAAGAATGCTTTTTTTCATCATCCACACCTACCTGCCATAATGTTACTCAGCAGTATACATCCTCTCTTTGAGATCTCCACAAGCTGTAAATATCTTCACGTCTCCTTTTTAACTCTTTATTTTCAGGAACGCCTCCATCCATCGAAGTCCCCGCTGGTCCTTATCCATTCATGGTGAAATCAGACGATGGCCGTCAGGTTCCTGTGGTGCAGGCCTACGCCTTTGGGAAGTATTTGGGTTATCTTAAAGTGACCTTTGATGGTGCTGGAAACGTAGTGAAGACAACTGGAAACCCCATCCTGCTGGACAGCAGCATCCCACAAGGTCAGGATGATAAAAGACCCGAAGTTTAAAACTTTGAGGGCTTTAGATGAGAGTTTGTTTCTGTCTACAGTCATGCATGAACTCTGTGTTTACATTCAGTCTGCATCAAACATTTCAATCTCACTTTTTAAAAAATCTTAAAACTGTGTGAAATACTGATAAAAACAGAATGTGAATCAGTTCAACTTTACGTGTAATTGAAGACAGTGCAGAGGTGACATAAAATACAAAAAAAAAAGAATTAAAAAAAAAATTGTTTTATATGCTAATTTTTAATTTGATGCCAGCAACACATGAAAAAAGTTTTTACAGGGACAACCAAATTGGTAAAAAGTTGCAAGGCTAAAAAATCAGGACAAAGGAGACCCTGATCTGTTGAGCAGCTAAAATCCTCGATCAGGCAAGAATGAGACAACATTTCACTTTTGGACTCCAGAACCTGGTCGACTGGGTTCACTAATGCTGCGTTCGAGTTACCTCAGAAGTCAGATGTCCAAGCTGGGAATGATGTCACACCCAAGAAAGCAAAATCGGACACAAGATGGCTACATCTACGAAGGTTATTTTAGCACTTGCCTTGTCCGACTATAAGCAAGGACAAGGCAAGCGCTAAAATAACTTTCGTAGATGAAGCCATCTTGTGTCCGTCGCCGATTTTGCTTTTTTCCGACTTGGTAACTGAAATGTTGTTAACTCGGGTGTGACGTCATTCCCAGCTCGGACATCTGACTTCCAAGGTAACTCGAACGCAGCATAAGGTCTACAAAGGGTTGGTTAAGAAAGAGCTGAGAAAACACGATGTGAAACATGAACCTCGAACTTTTGAACGATTTTTGCTGTCGTCAAGTTCAAAGTGAGCAGTAAAGTTTCCTCCCTCACCTTTCACTCTGATAAAATATCGTGTTTAGATCCAGAGGTTCTCGCAGACGTTGAGGATTGGAAAAAGAATCTGGCGAATTACTCGTCTGAGGTGGTGGGAAAGACTCTGGTCTTCCTGGACGGAACAACTGAAGAGTGCCGATTTCGGGAATGCAACCTGGGAAACTTGATCTGTGATGCCATGGTAAGTGTTCAACTCATTGGTCATTAAAGGGATAATCCTAATATTATTCTGACCTCCTTTACAGTCAGAGGTGGCTTTTTGAAGTCTTAAAGTCTTGATGTTTCAGTGGAGAGTTCTTGGTTTTAAAAGGACAAATGAAAAATGAATGCCAATGTGAGTGAAAGTATTCGTTCTGTCTTTGTTCCAGCTGGACAACAACATCAAATTCTCAGACGGCGTCCAGTGGAACCACGTCAGCGCCTGTATCTTTAACGGGGGAGGTGTCCGAACGTCTATAGATGAACGCACAAGAAATGGTGCATAAAAACTCTGGATTTGTTGGACTTTGGAGTCTTTAAACTTCAGAGATGTTCAACATTTCCTAAAGAACATGAATCAGTGTTGGTATGTCATCTCCAGGTTCCATCACCATGGAGGACCTGCTCTCCGTCTTACCTTTCGGAGGAACCTTCGACGTGGTGCAGCTGAAGGGCTCGACGCTGAGGAAAGCTTTTGAGCACTCGGTCAGAAGATACGGCCAAAGCACCGGAGAGTTCCTACAAGTGTCCGGTACTGCAACGATGTATTTAACAACAAACATGAGCAAAGATATGTAGCAGAGCTGAGCTGACCTGAATGTGGGTGATGCAGATTTTAAATCATCGTGTGTGTTGTGTTTGTGTTTTCCCTCTCACAGGAATCCATGTGGAGTTCGACCTCTCCAAACCTCCTGGTAACCGGGTGAAGAGTCTCGACATCCTCTGCACTAAATGCCGGGTACCTAAATACGAAGCGGTCGATGATGAGATGATTTATAAGGTGGTGCTAACGTCCTACATGGTGACAGGTGGTGACGGATTCTCCATGATCAAAGATGAGATCCTCAAACACGACAGTGGTGAGATCTTTGTGTGGTTTGAATCTTAATTGACATCTTATTACCTGCTCGTCACTCCTGAAGAGACTTGACATCTTTGGTGTGTTTTGCAGGAGATTTGGACATTTCTGTCGTGTCCAAGTACATCAGGCTAAGGAAGAAGGTTTACACGTCTGTGGAAGGACGCATCAAAATCTTCAACTCAGCCTTTGGACTGCGGGGACAGACCACTCCTCTGGTTTTACTGGTTTCACTGGGACTGCTCTGGACCTTTTTTGGGAATCTATGAGGCTGGTTTGAACCCTGAGGACATCTGAAACCTCAATGACTCCGTTTCTATTTCCATTTAACAATTTTCTTGAAGGAAATCTACACCCCAGTATCTTATTTTCTCTCTGAGCCAGGCTACGACTGTCTCAGGAGTTTGTTTGGACCAAGTTTGGATAAAGTACCACCCAAAGCTGCAGTACCGTCTAACAGCCAAGAGATTGAAGCCTGAAGAAAACAGACCGTTCTGTTGGGCAGGAAATCCAGAAATTTCTGTCTAGAAAGGGGAGCCTACTGTACTAGCAGTAGTAGTTTTACAAAGCAGTAGACAACAGTGTAGGGTCTGTTTGCAGTTGACTGGGGTATGATTAGGGTGACCATATTCACACGTTTTCACACGTTTCTAACACAGTGAGTCCATGCAACACAAACTCGAAACTCCTATACAAAACCCTGGACATTTGAAGGATTTTATCAACTTCCCCAAGACAAAGCCAGACAAGGCCAGACAGCCCACCAAAAAGAGGACATGTCTGAGTGAAAGAGGACGTATGTTCACCCTATGTATGATGTACTTCAGTGTACCAGAAACCAGCTAAACTGAGCAAAGAATACTACACACACAGTCATAGCAGTGTTTACATTTGTAAAATTTCTTGATTCAATTAAAAATTTGAGAGATCGGAAAATCTGAATCCACTGTTTATATTGGCACAAAATCAAATATTCTGATCATACATGCACCAAGCTTTATTTAGATCAAAAGTATTTGGACATGCACAGAGTTGCCTAATTTTGCTAAAACAACCGCAAAAGTGTTGTTAATTTGTTACATGAGGAGACGCTATCCAGCAAGAAAGTTTTGTCAGACACGGACTAATTGCTCTTGGATCCCACCATGTTTACGTCTTGTCACTAATGGCGGGGATGCATCACGATGACGTAGGGCATACATGTGCAGACTGTTTAGTTTTGCCCCAACAGAGAGTCAGGATCTGAATAGATGTTTACATGGATGCATGTCGGAATAACAATCGGTATAAACCAACCCTCTTGATTGGAGTACAATGTCTTTTGATTGAGCTGAATTGGATCAGAATCTAGCGATTGGCATCTTTTTTACATGACGCATTTTTATTCCGATCTGGCCTTTATTTTAATTATTTGTAAACGCAGCTATTGATTTTGATCAGAGACTGAACTGGTTCACTGCTTCTGGTTTGACAGAGACATGTCATGAAAAAAGATCCACCTGTATTTTAGAGATTTACCTCCAAAGTTTGTGTTAGCCTTCAGCTAAAGCCCTGGTAATTATGGAAACCACAGTTTCTCATAATTCATTTTTTTGTCACTCTTGAGAGTTTCCTGTAAACCTGATATTTTTGTAACTGTATTTGTTAGGAGAACTGTTCGATAGATTCTCATTAAAGTTGGTCCAAACATCCACATTCTCAGGATAACTTTTTATCATTTCTGTGATCATACTCTTCATGCAGAGTCTGACGTCGAAGCTCAGTGAAAAAATCTGATCAACTGTGTTCAGCCTTTTAGCGCATGTTGTTTTAAGGTCCAAGTTCCTGTCAGCACAGATGTTTCTACTCGAGTCAGTGAAGGGTTTTATAAACCTCTTACGGACAATTCTTGACTGTTGGACCGTGAATGCTTTCATCTCCCTCATGTTTTATCTCTGTGAATCTGAGTATTACAGTTATACGTTATATTTATTCTTATCTTTATCAGTTTGACATGGAATTAGTTACCAGACAAAATAGACCCTCCTCCGGAGCTACAGGTCGATTTTGAGGTTTCTATCCACCCATACAGGATTGTACTTCCTTGTGTTGGACATTAGAGGTACCAGTTGTCAGTTTAAGGACCTATGGTCACCATGCACATAATTGGGTCATTTAGCAGACCATTAATTATAAAAAATAAACTTTGTGATACAATCCAAATGAAGCTTATTTACATCCGCTCTGGGCCTTATAAAGCAGTTTATCTTCTCCTCATTGTAACAGCAGAAAGCATCCGTGTTCAGCAGACGCTCCTCTTTGTTTTATTTTTACCCAGAGTTCCTCTATGAACAAGGCCTCCTGTGTGCGAGGAGTCTCCTTGACGACGCTCACTGCCTGTTAATCGTCTGGATCTCCTTATTAGTCAGTTCACAGAGCGAGTGTTAACACAGCTGGCAGCCGTCCTGCAGCCAGAGGAGTCGCCAACGCTGGAAAACTCCGGCCTGAGAAACTGCTGTGTTTCTGGGAAACCGATAAAAAATCAGTCCAGGTCAAATTCAGGACAGGGGAGGGGTTTTAATTATGCATTCAGTGGATGTTGTTGTTGTTGTTGTTATTGTTGCTTTTTGGAGGGGAGGCATTTTTGTTCACAGTGTCGCATCTTCAAAAGTTGGACCTTCAACAGGACCACTAAAGGAAAAAATAATAATAGTAAATGAGGTGATAGTGACATTAATATGAGATTAAAAGTCGTGACTGTGGGTAAAAAGTCACAAGGACATAAGAAAAAAATTATAATAATATTAAAAACTGTCATTAATGAGATCTGATTATAATAAAAGGGTTTAAAATGTGAATATTTAAAATCATGAGAAATTCAAAAGACTTATAAAAAGTTAAGATTATAAAACATCACAATAACCAGATCAAAAGTCCTTAAAAATGATTTTTGAAAAATGTCTGACAGATGAGATAGAGAGTCAAACTTATGAGGTGAAAACGTATCAAATGTAAAGTCTTAATTTTGGGACAAAAAGTCTGAGTTATGACAAAAATACCACTAAACTAATAATTGGAAATCATGGTTAAGATGCAAAAGTATGCAAATTAGAGTAAAACATGATTTTAACATCAGAAGTCTCAATTTAAAAGATGACAAACCCATGACTATGAGATTATGAGATTAAATGTCCTGATTATGACACACAAATGTATGATTATTAGAAAAATAAAATGATTTTTAGGTAAAATGTCAAAATACTGGAAAGAAAAGTTCTGATTTTAAGATGAAAAGTCATCCATATGAAAGGAAAATCCCAAATCTGAGGAACAATAAATGAAATAATCTTCACTATCATTCAGAGTGAGCTGCTCTTTCTCCTGATCATTGATGTAATTTTGTTTTTTTATAGTTATGACTTTTTCTTTTTTCTTTTCTCTGAACCATTAACTCCAGACGTTAAGACTCTTTCAGGCTGAGGTAAGCGTCCATGATTATATAATATTGTTTCTCAGTTTGGACCGAAACCCTGATAGACCCTGGTGTGTGGTCTGAAGGTTGTCCAGGGTAAATCTGGCTGATACTGAGGGGTTATTTTTCATGTTGTAGGTTGTGTAACACTGGAGAGACTTTCTGTTAACCTCAGTTGCTGATAAATGAAAGTATGTCTCTATTCTCATGGACGGAGGACGGACTCATGCAGACTCTGAGTCCTCTCTGTGTCCCAGGAATGTCCTCAGAGTAAGTGACAAAAAGCTTCCTGTGGTGGGTCAGCGTGACTCTCTCACAGTTCATTCAGCAGCTTTACTTCATGTACTGGTGCACACATATTTAAGCTCTGCCAGTTCAAGCTCTTCTCAGGAAAACTGGTCTCTGAACTGTTCTTCAACTTTTGTTTATGAAGCTGCTCTTCATCATGTCCTTTTACAAACTGTCATAGTAAGTAGAAAAAGCGCTTGAACTTCTACTTCAGATAGTATGGTAATGATGTTGGTTGTAACCTTGGAGACCAGGGAGGGTCACAGGTCATGCTCAGGTGCTGTTTTAAGATTCTAACGTGCTCTGTTAACATGAGCAATAGAGAGTTGTTTGACTAAAGATATTTAAGCCTCCTGCTCAATCATTTACACAACCTTCATGTAACCTTTAAAACTGCAAGTAACATAAACTTCCGACTGAGCATGCTCCAACGAGGATCTCTGCTTTAAACTCAGCTGTTATTGGGAGAAGGGCGATCTCACCGGGGAAGGTCGCTCTCCTTCAGGTCATTTTAATTAATTATAACCGTAAATTGTCAACAGACTTTAAGAGTTTGATATTTTAACCACACAGGTGTGCAGGTAGATCTCAGTTAGAAACGACGCAGCAAAGAACTTTTTGCTAGATCACTTTTAAGATCATCTTATTTCCCAATGACAGCACAGTTCCAGTTAAGATCCACCTGATAGTCAGGTGCAAATGTGACATGACCCCAAAAATGCTAACAGAAGGTTTCTCAGCTTAGATGTCCTTAATAACATACTAAAAGTTCACCAAAGTTTGACCACTAGAAGAGTGTCATTTTCAAGATGGCATCCTTGATAGGTAGGAAGCCTTGGGGAGACACCCCAGGTGAAAAGGGTAAAATTTTTAACTAACAGATATCACCATGAAACTTCCTGAGTTTATAACTTACGTTAAGACAAATATTTTTTGCTAGTTTTCGGTTCTGGAAATGTATGCAAATTAGTGCATATTTAATTAGATATAGCCTCATTTACATATTCATACATAATATTTGACTAAACTTGTAATCCAAAAAATATTTGCCTTAATGCAAGTTATAAACTCGGGAAGTTTCATGGAGAGATCTGTTAGTTAAAAATTTGACCCTAGACGCCTAGGGTGTCTCCCTGGGCTTCCTACCCATCGTGGAAGCCATCTTGAAAATGACACTTTTGTTAGAATTTTAAGGGTTAAGTGTTTTTTTTTTTTTTTCATATATGCACTTGCCTATGACGGAGCTCAGCTGTGTCAGAAGCCTGTTACTCTTTTAAACATTAACATCATTTTCTCTCATGAATTTATGACCTTATTCTCAGAATAATTGGCCTTAAATCACACCACATAACAACTTCTTATTACTTTTTTCTCACAATCCTGATCTTTTCACCCTCAAAGTCTTTCATGTCAGAAACTCAGAATCTATGAAAGCTTATTAGATTCACTCCATGCAGATTTTATTCTCAGGTGAATGAAACACTTTTTTATCGAAAACTGTCCAGCTGAGGCTCTAAAGTGTCTTTTGTTCACTTTCTTCCATCAACACTTGTGTTACAACAGCTTGAACCTGTTTGCATGATTGAAAACTGTTTCTCTAAATTTGTTTTATTTCTTCCAAATAGGCTGTAAAACACACAGCAGAAGTTATATCTGACAAAAACAGGCTCTTATCATTTTTATGATAACCTCAGCGGTTTTATGATTTTATTTGGAGCCTCTGCACAGTGAGCTGAAATTTTCTCTCTGTGTCTTTAAGAGTTTCCCACGTGGATTCAGGAGTGACTACTCTTTTTCTGGGAGACGTGTTGCAATTTGACTTACAGACAATTTAAGGAAGTAAAAACATTATTTTAACTTTTCATTCTCACAGACTCAGCCAATAAATCAACAGGGATTTGTGAGGTGACAGCGAGTTTTACAGCTTTTCTTTTAGAGTTAATCATATTCGGATTTGAGGGCGTGTTCCTCGTAAATTCATACTAATGAAAAATAACTTTTGTGAAAGTGTCAAACCCCAACAGAAAACATCTGTGCAGCACCACTTTGGGAAAAAGACTCAAATATAAAGTAGATTTTTTTAAGGCATAAGTCAAACAGATATGAAAGCACAGGCCTGCTTTCGTAGTGTCATCAATAAATATCTTTATTTGTCTTAGTGCATGAATGTACAGTGAATGTGGAGACGATCCTGCAGGAACAGCCGAGAGACCTGATGCAGGATCAGATCAGTGTTCAGGACATCCAGAGACTCAGACCACGATGGTTCCCTTCACTCCCTGAGGAGAGACGTCACATCAGACAGCTTTAAACTTACATCAGTCCAAAACATCAGAGATTTTCTGCTTCACCCTTCTGCCGAGATCATTTTACAGACTGACAATTTGTTGTCATTTTTGAAGGCCAGTTTTTTAAATCAAGTATTTTCTCTCTGGCTTTTTTACTGTATCTTTGCACGTAAACTAAAATAAGGTGTGACACCACAGCTCCTCAGGGGTGAGGAGGTGATGCACGGAAAACATGAAAGAGGAAACTTCAATCCTGCAGTTAAGAAGCTACACTTTAAAACATGTTTATTTTTTCTATCGTCCTTTAATATGAAACCCCTCCGCAGCTCTCTGGTCATAATCAGGGTCTGTTTCAAATACTGATGCCCTCATTGCATCATGGGAGCTGACTCAAAGTGGTCCGGGTTAATAATAATGAAGTGACAGCTGTGCAGAAAGCGCGTTGGAGCACAAACACAAAATATAAATATGCAAAAACTTCACACTTGCAAATCATCTCTGCTGGGATCTGATCTGTCTGAGTTTTAGAGGTTTGCAGATGTGTTCTTCTTCTATGAGCTTTTTTAAGCCTCTTTTTTTTTTCTTTTTTCACGAGAGCTTTCATATATTGTTATTATTACGCTCTCTCAGCTTCATGTCTTTGTGTTCTTCTCTCACTTGTTTACCTTGGTGAGTTCAGGGAAAAGCTCCTGCACGGCGATGTCGAGCAGGACGTAGGTCACCTGAGGAGAAATGACTTCAGTTAGAAAGGATTCACTAAACTTTATTTCAAACTGGGATTATTTACAGTAAATTAAACTTAAATCTGACATAGTTTCAGTCTGAGCGGCAGTTATCCACTAAATACTACAAAAGAGGATTAGGGCCACATGAAGAGAAAAATAATAATTACAGGAACAAGATTCAAGTTGAAATTTCAAGATTAAAATGTAAATTTAGAGATTAAAGTCGAAATTTCCAGATTCAAGTCAACATGAATATAGTCAAAATTTCGTGAATTAAATCAAAATTACGAGATTAAAGTCAAAATTACGAGATTAGTGTCAATGCATAATTTTATGAATCAAGTCGTAATTGAGATTAATGATAATGAATCAACATCATTGTCACTCGTCACTAGACGACATGTCCTCTGTAGAACAGTTTGTAAAGCTTTACTTTGGAATTGGGTTTAGTAACAAGGAAATGCTTGCTCTTTTTGTACACAAACACAGTGTGGTCATAAGTATTCAGGCTCTGAAAAGACTGTGCCGAAGATTATGATACAGTTGCAGGTTATCGATGGTTACACCTGCATGCTATACAGCAAGGCTACAGTTGATCAAGTTGATTGATCCTGAAGGCCTGAAGCACAGATAAGCTCGGCGTCTGAGGCACGGGCATTATCGAAGCGGAAAACCCAATACGCTCCGGCACATGGATGGTTAAGACAAATTTAAACCATACGGCATCTCATTTAGACTTTTTAAAATTTCGACTTTCATCTCGAAATTTCGACTTGAATCTCGAAATGGAAATTTAAAAAATCTCCCTCCTGTAATTATTTTTTCCTGTTCTTGTGATCTCATGGCCCAGATCTACCTGTTGACTAAACCTGCCTCACCTTCCCCACCCTCTCTCCTGTCTATCTGCCTTCAGGAAATCAACTCCTGGTGACTTCCTCAAACAGAGATACACCAACATCTCCTCAGTTTCTCCCTGAGTCTGGGCGTCATCCTCCACAGCAAACTATCCTCTAAAACCCACATCAATGATATCACTCGGTCTGCATACTTCCACTTATTAATCACCTCTACTCCTCCACTCCTCCCTAACTCCCAACAGTGCCGCCCTTCTTTTTCACACCCTGGTTGCATCGCACAGGTTTTTGGTGGTTTGGTGATACTGAATAAAAATCCTTGATAGAACAAAATGAGGGATGATTTTCACACGAGATCAGACAGTAACCAGTAACTCCTCCTCTGTGATAGTAAAAAAAAAAACAATGTCTCTCATTTGAGGGTTATCCTCTGCTCATATGTATCTCGTGGTTCAAACTTGCCTGTTTGTTGAGGAGAGGCTGCTGCAGACCGTCGAAGAGGAGGCGGATACCTTCATATTTGGCTTCCTCACCGATGCACTTGACTACAAAGTCTGAAATCACAAACAAACACACATGCACGCACACTTTGAGTTCGGTCTGTTTCAGGTCTTTGAAAAGCGTGTTTGGGAAAAATCAGCGCAGCGCATTTTGGAGGAAGTGAGACGCTCTAACTCCTGAGGTTCCCACGTTCAATTTTAAAGGAACTGTCTTCTGTTACAACAGAAATGAGATCTGATAGCTCATGTGAAAACCTCCCGTCATGCAGACCAGCTGAGGTGAAGTTTGGGGAAGTAAAAGACGGTGCACTGTCTTATCCTTTCGATTTCAGCGCTAATAACCACCATCCTGTAAAATATCGACCTCAATCCTGGAGTTTTAGAAACAAATGTGTCAAAGTTTCTGATCAAACTCTGAAGACACTTTTCTAACATTGTGTCCTCGGGACGTTTTTGCATCCTTTGTCTGCCTGGAGCGTAAATGATATTTGATAAGAGGTGAATCAGCTTAAAAACTAACTTTTAACAGGTTTTAGTCACTTCGTTTCTTTTTTTTAACTTGAATTTTTCAAACACAGAGTAACTTCTGAGGTAATAATGAATTGGTTTTTCTTTTTTTTTACTTCAGTGTGCACCTCAAAACAACCTGCTTTCTTTGTCTGTTTGCTTCTTTTAAAAGAGTGAAGGTCGTGATTACCCTACAAGCTCAGAGAGTTTGTGATAAACTTCTTAAGATCCAATGAATGTGTTCATGCGACGCGCTAAAGGGAAGAACTGAAGGGTCTTTAAAGGCAGAAAAGGGGCTGTGTGCTCTGAACTGACCTGGTAAATAATTCATCATCTCCTCAAACGTCTTCTTGGCTCTGATCTTTTTGTCCTCGGCGGTCCGTTCCTCTTTGCTCTCACAGAAAACAGCATCTGAGGAGACAAACCAGAACCAGAGGCACCTTAAATCTTCAGTGGGATTTCTAAAACCTGACTGAGAGGACACACACACACACACGCAGACACACACAGAGGCTCTGTCCCACCTCTCAGCTGAGTGATGAGGGACACCAAGTGATGCTCCTGCAGGATCTGGTCCAGTTTGGACTGCATGTACTGGTCCATATAGGCCTCAAACGTGTTCTTGAAGAGGATTCTCCCTGCAGACAGGATGTGGTGCAGCCAGTCTGACGTGTGGAACACCACCCGACCTGTCAATCAAACACAAGGACTGATGAAGAGGAGCCCACTCCGATTGTTTGAGTTTCTGTCATAGCTCACAGATCCTGAGCTGGCTGAGTGGCAGTCTAGCATACAGGGAACATACTGGGAATACTAGTCCAACTCTAAACTTGACTCTCTCCGCTCCTCACTGCCCATAATAGTTGGATTGAGACTTGTTTGGGGCTCAGTTTGATTTATGAGCCCAGCGTTTCAATTCTTTTGTAATTTTCCTTGGAAGTCTGGCCCTGAAGTCAAATTAATTGGAATCATCTGTTGTAGCTGCAGGATGGATGAGTCATGCACGGTTATCCAGAAAACGTGAGAAATAAGGGTCTTCTTCAAAGTTCGCCTTTTTTGGCGCGCTGGCTGCTGGATCTGAGGGGGTGATGTTAAAAGTGCTGACAGGGAGTTTTAAAACACGGATAGAAGAGGAGGTGAGCTCTCTCTGACACATACTGACAAAGTGATTCACGACCTCCTCCTCACACTGTGGGGTAGACTGATGCAGATTTACTGTCATCCTAGTAAATATCAGTCATGCACACATTGGAGAACAATTGTAGGAAGTACAATCGTTCCCCCTCCCAGCACCAGTTGGACTGCACTCACTGCCCCAGACTCAAACAGGCCTGGGTACGATTAAAGATGCATGCACAGCTAGGGCTGGGCAATATGGGAGAAAGGTTAACATGATATATTTTTTTTTCATCAGTCGATATCGATATATATCACAATGTAAAAAAATGAAATTTAACAGTGCTTATTGGTAGCATGTTTTTTGCAAGACAATAAGCTACTGCATCTATGAGGTCTTTGTGTCTCTTCAACGTTTTGTCATAAGGCGTGGCACAAAAGAAAGCAGACAGAATAGTCGGCTGTTTCGGTTGCACAGGCGCCATGGGCTCATTGCTGCGCTCGGGGTTTGTAACCTTTTGCATTACATGTGCTCTGCTGTGTGGCTTCAGGTGGTGAAAAAGATTTGAGGTATTCCCTGACTGAGAGAAAAAGTACTCAACATAATTTACAGAAACTTTACTCTGCTTCATGTCCAACCTAAAAAAAACCCAAAATATATATCGTTATTGTTTTATCGCCCAGCCCTACGCACAGCCTTACGTCACCATACAATGTCATAGTTTTACAAGAAAGCAGAGGACATGATTGTAACAACAGAGCTCATGGTGGACTTACTACAATATTCTGAGCAGACTGAAAGATGACCAGACAGACGCTGTGAGAAGCCTGGTATACTATGTTAGTTAGTAACCTTTATTTAACCAGGAAATAAACCCATTGAGATTCTGAATCTCTTTTACAAGGGAGTCCTGGCCAGGATAGTAGCACAAGAAGTTCCACATAAAAAAAAAAAAAAACACGCAGAAACACAAAACAGTTACAGTATGCAAAACACAACAATAAATCAGCGTTCAGTAAGAAGACATGTGCATTCAGTACTCAAAAACTCCTTAATTCTAGTTTTAAAATGTGCCATACTTTTCAAAACAAGAATTAAGGAGTTTTTGAACTGGTACACATGTCCTAGCGCAGTGGTTCTCAATCCAGTCCTCGAGCCCCCCTGTCCTGCATGTTTTGTATGTTTCCCTGCTCCAACACACCTGATTCAAATGATCAGCTCGTTATCAAGCTCTGTAATGGCTTATTAACGAGCTGATCATTTGAATCAGGTGTGTTGGAGCAGGGAAACATCCAAAACATGCAGGACAGGGGGGGCTCGAGGACTGGACTTGAGAACCACTGACCTCGTGTAAGTGAGTGAGTGTGTCTCTGACTGACATGAACTCACTCTGCAGAAACATGTGGTTGGTTTCGATATAGTTTGTGTGATCAGATCTTAAGGTGGAGGTTTAAAGAGCCAAACTTTTAAAAAAAGCTGCCCTCAACTTTTAAAATATACATACCACACAAAGACTGCACTAATGGATGGTCCTGATGGTCTCTCTTCCATATTTAAGATATTTTGGAACTTTAGGGGAATAAAAAATGAACTGACACTAACTGACATTGTGCTTTTGTCTTTTTCGCTTTCACTGTATAAAACCATTTATTTAACTTAAACCATTTATATTTTATTACTCATGCTACACATTAGTCTCTACCTTTGAATCCATTCCTGTTAAAATCCATCCCATGTTTTGTCCTTATTTTTGACTTTCCCTGGTTTTAAGTTGCTGTAAAGCTCTTTGAATTACATTTGGTGGGTATGAAAGATGTTACATTAATAAAGTTTGATTAACTGGTTGATTAAAACAAAAAAATCCACCTGCTTCCTGTGAAATTCAGTTCATGATCGTGTGGTCTTCATGTCCTCGTCTCTCTTCCGCTTTTCTTTTGCAGACGCTGAACCTCAAAGCTCTCGATAAATATGTATTGTTGTTCTTTTTACAGTTACAGAGAAATCACCTGTCGGGGAGTGAAACTGAAGGGAATCACATCAGAGATTTACTCTGTTGAGTTGTTTCTACACTTTTTAAAATCAAACTTAAGATGAGATAAGATATTTTTAAGACCCAATAAGAGAAAAATATTTTTTTTACACAGGTAAATGAAGACAGACACAGTTGTGCCATATTTCCCACAAATCTAGCCCAGCTTTAAAAGCCTTTGGGGTATTCAAAATGTAAGCCCCTTAAGACTGTTCACTTCCTGCTATTTTTTTAATCTCAAGCCAAACTCTTGATATTTGAACGCTCTCATTTTCTTTTTCTCCTCTTTTGATCATCATTTCTAAATGCGTGCATGAAAAACTGCCAGAAATGCAGCATTCGTCACATAAATCTGCAAATTCATGAAAAGGGGAACTAATTTTCATCATAAGTGTAGATTTATGTTTTCAGACATGTCCCACCTAAAATGTCAAACCTCTTACAAGTAAAAATAAAACCTTTTAAAGACTTTCAATAACCTTTCCAAGACATTTCAAGAACCTATAGGAATTCTGGATCTGGTTTCTTTGACCAGCCTGCTGTATCAGTGGAGTGTTTCCAAAGATCGTCTCTGCTCATGAGTAAGAATAAGACCTCCTCTGTCTGCAGAACTTACCCACATACATCATGCAGTCATACATGCCGCTAACAGTGATCTTCTCCATGAAGTAGTTTTGGTTGTATTTCTTCTCTGAGCTGTCTGTCAGATCTGCGTTGTTCTTAAAGAGGTTGTTGAAGAGCTGCAGGTCAAAGTGAAGATTAAGATTTATCAGTGTTACATTTTCACAATCATAACAAAGAAATATTAAAGGATTTATAAGGTTTTGTTAAAGTTTTGGCATGTGAGAAAGCTTTTCTGTGTTTATCTCACACATTTTTTTCTTTCTTTTGCTAGTGTTCATGACTTTCCATCATTTTTCCATTTACATCATGATTCCATGATTATGATCCTGTAAGGCTTTTGTCTGTGTTTTTGTGTGAGCATTTGCAGCCTGTTTCATCTATCGAGGATCATCCAGGTTGTTGCAAACATCTGCCCTACAGCAGTGCAGCATCATTCCTTCATGTCGTTCATGAAAAGCTGATTAAAACCACCTGAGAAAACTGACAGAGCCCGCTCTGCTCCGGGGTGAGCTGCAGGGAAGTGTTTGGATGTTTTACCTTCTTATTGTTCTCCGCGGTCGGGCTGAGGATGGTGAGCTCGGGTCGGCTGGGTTTGGGTTTGGGAGACTCGCAGGAGTTAAAAAAAGACTGGATAAACGGCTCCAGGTTCTGCCCTTTCTGGAAATCACAGAGTGTTCACAGAGTTGTTTTGGACTGGTTGCAGATTTAAAACTTGGAATGGCAAGTAAATCTCTGTTTCAGGGAAAATAAAACTGCAGTGAATCAAACTTCCAAAGAGACTGTAAAATGATGAAACTGTCAGTCTGGAGATGTAAACATGGAAAAACTCTGGACAGCAGGGGTGGAAGAAAAAAATCTATACAGCACAGTATCACGATATTTTGTCTGGTGATATATCGTATCGTCTCATTGATTTTTAAAATTAATTGCTAATATTAAGACAAATCTATAATAATGGAAAAATAAAATCAACTGTTTGTCCAGTGAGGTTGGCAGAGGTGACATCATAGAGCAGGAGAAAGTTAGTGCAACAAATATATAAAAGGTTTGTAAGATGTGAGAAGATAAAATACAGCATAAATAAGACAAACATAAAGGAAAACCAAATGCTAAATTAGCTAGACAGTTGAAAAAATTGTTTAAATCGCAGTATATTGTATCGCAATACTCACCGTATTGCAAAATGTTAAGAATCGCAATAATATTGTATCGTGGCCCAAGTAACATAGCAATATTGTATCATGGCCCAAGTATCGTGATAATGTTGTATCATTGCCCAAGTATCGTGAAAACTTCATATTGTGGCCCAAGTATCGTGATAATGTTGTATCATTGCCCAAGTATCGTGACAGTTTCATATTGTGGCCCAAGTATCGTGATAATGTTGTATCATTGCCCAAGTATCGTGACAGTTTCATATTGTGGCCAAAGTATCGTTATAATATTGTATCATGGCCCAAGTATCGTGATAATGTTGTATCATGGCTCAAGTATTGTGATAATATCATATCGTGGGGCCACTAGTGAATCCCACCCCTGCTAGATGGTTCAGCTGAGGACTGACTCACCTCTTTTATCAGCTTTCCGGGTACAGACTTGAAAATCTTCCCTGTCAAACAAAGAGCGGGTCAGAAACCAGAAGAAAACTGTGAGACTGAGAAACAAAAGAGGGAGGAGAGCACTCTGATACTATTTTACTGGAATCAGAGAGAGCTGTCTCAACTGTTTACATACCGAGGTTGACATCAGGCAACATCTTGTCCAAAAACTGAGACTCGATGCTGTAAGGAGACAGAAAGTCTGCCAGCAGCTGACTGTTACTGAGCTCTGGATGCTGCAGGAGCCTCTGCAAACAAAACAACCACATCAGGAGGTGAATGCATCTGCATATTTGACGTTTAACCTCCAGATATAAGAATTTAGTTTATCTTTGATGCTGAATTTTTACAGTATTAACTCGTTAAGTTTGGGAAAAACACAGCAAAGGGACATAACTTGTGTAATGAGTCATAAATGCTTTATAAACAGCAGTTCAGGGAATGACACCCCCACACCCTCCTCTAACTAATTCTTATACTGCCCTCTAGTGACGATACATGTTACTTTTCTATGACAGCAAAACTAGAATGAGAATAAATCACAAAAGTCAGAAATATAAAACAAGCAAACTAGTTTTATTTGCATACCTGTAAATATTCCTCAAATTCTTCCCTTTTGGAGGTAAGGAACTCGTGATTCTTTGGTCCAATGAGTCTTTTCGATGGAAGCTGTGCATCTGCAAACGCACCTGCAAACAAACACAGAGTTTCAAAGGAATTAAAAGAAAACCCGATAAGAGAAATGACTCTGGAGAAGTATTAGAGAAGTAAACTAGATCCTAGAGAAGTAAAACTATAAAGTCTTGGGTGTTACCATGGAACTCAGTGAGTTTTGATTCCAGCACGTAAAACTCCAGATATCTCCTAAAGACCACCCACTTCTCAGTTTCATGTCCGACTGTGAGGAGAAGAAAAAAAATACATTGATCACGCTGACGTCAGAGTTTGTTACAGGTGAAGTTGAAATCGGCGATCGCTCACCTTCTTTTCTGTCATTGCGTTCTACATTGATGCAGAAGACCGGGATCCTCTCCCTCTTGACCTCGTCTTCACAGACTTCGATGGAGGGGATGGTGATGCTCCACGCCGACAGGTTCCTCAGGGTGCCCGGCACGCTGGCGGGCTCCACTGTAGAGTCGTCCTCCATCACCACCGTCGCCTCCTCCACCTGCAGGAAAAAACAACAACAATGTACTTGTGGAAATCTACTACTCTGAGTGGATCACTTTTTACCTGCACTCACTATTTATTAATATGAGGACCAATCTGTTTACTGACAGCCTGAATTCTCTGAACTATGAACACTCACAGCGTCGTCCTCCAGGTCGTTCATGACACTCGGGGGCGGCAGCATGGCTCCCTCCATAGTCGTGCTCCTGAACACACCTTTGATTTTACTGCCGATCCTGCTGATCCCGAACGACTCGCCTCGTTTGGAAAGGTTTCTGAGTCAAACAGAGAAATAAACACAAACAATAAGAGTCATATCCCTCTGATCTGTGTTAATACCACACAGGTAAACACTATATAAACACAGAGTGACTGTTTTTGCTTTGCTGTGACGGCGCTCGGTGCATGAGTCATGCAGCAGACATGCAGCTTTATCAGCCACAGCAGCATCAACTCTCTGAGGACTAGGAACTCATATTTAACTCCGATCAGGGGAACACCCAACATTAATGAAGTCCAAACTTTCATAAACTCCTAAAAAAGCAGCTCAGACAGGAAACAACAACACGACACAACTGCATGTCAGAGGCAAGAGTCTGACGTCTCAATTAGTTTTAATACCTTTATCCACACAAACCTGTGGATAAAGGCCTTAAAGTCCCACTCCGATCGTTTTTTATTACTACTTAAAGTGTTCTCAGTGGTCTGTAAATTGTGATTATGAAGTTCTCACCAAAAATCACGTTACCTGTGTCATTTTCAAGGGCTTTTCTTCTGCAGAGCTCCAGTAGATCATTAGCAATTTACCTCTGAGACAGCGCTGCTCTGCACACTGGTCTTCACCTTAGCTTGCAGACTAACATGGCCGGTGTCATAGAAGTGGCAGGTAACATAACAGCTATTCAACTTTCGGACACTAATGTCTTTGGGGACACGATGAAAGTTATCATAATTAGCTTTCTTACGAGCGTTAACGCACACGCTTGTTCTGCGATCGTCCTCTGTATTTCTCCTCTGTATGCAGAGTGCTTACATAGCAGGGCTCTGGGGGCGGAGCTTGGATTGGTTACATATGAATTCTCATTGTTTCTGAACCTGCCGTTTGGGTCTGCCAGAGATTCACAGAGATTTAAATGAAGTAATACTCAGAAAAGCAATTTCACATTTAGTTTTCTCATGATATGTCCTGTAGCGTCAGAAAAATGCCACATGAACATCTTAAAAAAACAAGAAACACATGATTTTCATCAGAGTGGGTCTTTAAAGTGTTGCTGCAGTGTTAAAATCCGGCCTCTTTTGCACTTAATATTGCACAATGTAAGGTCACAGTTAATTTGCAAGCGGCAGCATGATGTGAACAGACTCTGAAGCCTCCTGATGTTAACATTAGTTTCACGTGGATCCACAGAGCAGCCTGCGCTGAGCTGAACTATTACTGCATGCTTTAGTCTCCGCTCTGCTGCTTTACATCCTCAGTGTTTCAGGCAGCAGACTCTGAGAGTTGAGGTGACATGCTGAGCGTTGACTTACCTGCTCTCCTCTAAAATGAAGCTATTTCTGAAATAAGATGAACAAACAACTAACAATGACTGATAACTCGTAAAAACATCCTCAGATCTTATTCTGGGATCTGGACAAAAAAATCAGTGAGGATCTGGTTTTGAAGTTTGAGGTGTTTGATACGTAATGATTGAAAGGAAACTAAAAGGATTCAGATGTGACAGACCTGCTGATTCTTGAGTTTCTCGCTGGAGACTCGGCTCCTCTCAGCAGGTGTCTGAAATACTGAACACAGAGAGAAGACAGAAATTTCACAGATTACACCTTTAATAGGATTGAAAGTACTTTTACAGGATACTTTTTTGTTCATTTGACAACTTTTGAATCTTTTAGCCTGTTTTTATTTTACTCTTCCTGGACCTTCATCCTGATTTGAGTGATCCAACGGTCCAGCACCACTGATGTGGAGCCTTCATTTCTACTTCTCAAAGCTTATTTGTGTTTTCATTACATCTGAAATACTGATAAGTGACCTACGGATGTGTGTGTTTGAGATGAGTCGGGGTCTTACTTCATCGCTGTGACAGAACATGGGGGTGAAAACTCGCTCCAGCAGAGACAGGACGTGCTCGTACGCCTCGAACAGGCAGCGCATCGTCTGCAGCTTCACCACGCCGCCGTACGGACCTCGAGCAACTGAGAGAGAGAGTTTGAATTATCCGCTTTAATGTTAGACAAACTAGATGGAAGGGGATGCTGATCAGCTGATCGGTGATTTATTGTGAATTTTTGATTTTTTTTTTTTCATTGTCTTGACAGTAAAACCGTGCCCCGCAGACTGCAGTGACCTAAAGCCGCTTACTGTTCTTGATCTCCTCCACGATGAACTTATCGAAGCTGATCTTGTCGATGCTTTCGTCCAGACAGTACGTCTCGTAGATGTGCAGCACCTCGCCGTGCAGACGCTGCAGCTCGGTGTCGTTCAGCTCTGGGCTCAGGATCTTATCGTTAAATTCCTCTGGAGGGACAAACAGGACACTTTTGGACTGTGGTACTGAAAGGACATCAAGAGAGTTTCTCCCACATCTCTGCATTAACTCTGCCATGTATCTGGCTTTCATATCTTTCCTGTGCATGTTAATCCTGGGGGTTCTAGACAATAATAGCAGGACCTGTCCACCATCTCCACTGTTTTGCTCCTACAGCTGCAGCATCAGAGTCACAAGACAAAGCAGCAGAGTTCAGCCTCAGGTGTCACATGACAAGAGTGAGGGGAGACGACACAGAGCTATAAAACAGACACTCAAACCTGGGCGGTTATCTCTGCTGGTTTCACCTCCCTGCTCTCTACTATGGTATTATAAATGATAGTGATGACGCTGTACCACTGTTCATCACATCATCATTCTCATCATGGCTTAATTGACACGCCTCTGTTTATGAGTATTCAGCAGACAGGAAAGTGGACTCTAGCATAGGGCTGGGCGATAAACCGAAAATTTACTGATACTGAAATTTAGGTCAGTAACAGGAGTTATTTTGCCCATGTCAATATAATCAATAAAAGTTGGTTTTGGATGTGTGTAGGTAGGCTATGGTCTCATGTCCCTTTAAGATGCTGTCCTACGTCAGAGACATGACTCCACCCCATCCAGTACGTAACAAAGAGGGAAAGACAGGTGAGGAGATGGAGGACGGTTCCAAAGTTGGAGCGGCGGTTGAAGTAGACGAAGTTAATGTGGGAGGGGGTGGGCGGCATGTGGAGTAGTTATCATCTGTTTATCGTTATTGAGGTGAACTGTTCAATATATTGTGATATTGATCTGAGGCAATAACGCCCAGTCCTACTCTAACAGCTGCTCTTACCCGCAGTGAGGCAGAACTGCAGCACATGCACGGCTCCCTCCTGCTTCAGGAAGTTCATGAAACGAAAAAGGAGATCCTGATCGTCCCGGATCTCCTTCAGCTCCAATTTCAGCACCTGTAGGAGCACAAAGAGAGAGAGAGAGAGAGAGAGAGAGAGAGACAGAGTTTGATTTAAAACCATGAGACACTCGTTAGAGAGAGGCGATCACCTGATCACACTGGATGTCTTGGCTCTCACTGCCCATTTAGGGTGTGGGGGTAACCAGGGGTCTAGTGGTTGAAAAGGATGTATCAGAACTGTCAATACCTGGAGCACACATGCATGCAGAACATGCAAACTCTGTACAGAAAGGCCTCTGCTAACCCAGGGATTGAACCAGGAACCTTCTTGCTGTGAGGAATCAGCACTATCCTGTGCAGCCCTCACTGAGCACCAATCTGCCTCAAGAGTGAACATGTATCCTGTTTGTCAGAGCATCTCAAAACATTTCAGGTCATGCACAATTTAATCTAAAGCAAGGCTGTTACAACACAACGGTAGTGTGAACACGATTCTAACACATGGTAAAAAAAAAAGAGGTGTGACTAATATTCTCACAGTAGAGGGTGGTAGGAATCCTTCATGAAACACGGAAGAAGAGAGGCTGCAGGGAACCTAGCTGTAGCAGACCTCTGAGGGACACTCAGACACTTCAAACTGAAAAACTCCAGATTCAGAGTGAAACTACGGAGGTGCTGATACACTGTTTTTTTCTCACTGTTTTTACTTAGTTTCACCATCTGTCAAAGTAAAAACATGGTCACAAAATACAGGAAAAAGAGGAACCTAGATGCAGAGAGCTCAAACTTCAAAATAAAAGCATTAGAAACATCATTTTACAAGGTCATCTTTTCACTGGAGACGTTTCTGTGACTGAGATAAATTTCTGTACATTGTTAGAAACTTTAAGACGTAAGTAAGTCGACTGCAGTTATTTAATATAAAAAAAAAAAAAAGAACATGTCGCTCCCCAGGTGAGAATGTTGTATTGCGACAGCTCTGGTCTGGAATATCGTGAATTTTCAACTGATCCAAAACCTGATTTTTTAATGATATTCTTATTTCTTGAAGATGCATTTGTGTTTCAAATGAAATACAGAGACAGATGACCTGATGTTCGACTGTTCCCTGAGAAGAGGCTCAGGGTAAAAATAGTCAGAAACTGCATATATGCACATGTAACTGCATTTATATTTCCTTCTCTCAGTGAGATACTCACAGACGGCTTCTTGTTGCTGACGTCGGCATACTTCTGCAGAAATGGGACCAGAGCAGACGGAGGCTCTAAGGCTGCTTCAGGCTGGAGATACAGAGGAACACAGACTGCAATCAAGTTTCTGCTTATTAGACTAAATTCCATATATATAATGATGGATATTTAGGTACAGATACAGATGTTTTTTCTCAAGATGGATGAAAATTACATTCAATTTTGCAGATTTAAATGACACGATCTTTCTGAAATGCCTTTTTGACTTACTGGTGTGTCATCTACAAATATGAGCACCATGAAGTTCACAGTATCCTGAAAAACAAAGAGACACAGAGTTTTATCTTCAATCCCTGAATGACATTGTTTAAATGTTGCTTAGCTTTAATGCCTGTTTGCAAAACTCTGAAACGGAAACTTGGTTGTGCAATACTCAGTAACGTTGTGCAGACAGGTTATCTTTGTGTAACAGCCAAATCAACACTTTAATATGTGAAATATCTCAGCGTAGTTTGGGTCTCTGTAGTTATTCATTCATTCATATCACACTCCTGCTTCTGTAACAGTCATACAAAGTCTTTAAAAGTAGCTGTTCTTGGAGCCTGATCATGTGAGGAGGATAAGACAGAGAAATGAAGCTCCAATAATACTGTAACACCAGACTAACAATGATCCAGTTTCACTCACAGGGTCGGCCATGAAATCCATAGTCGGTAACATGACAGATCCAGCCATCACCTCCCGCATCAGCAGAGCCAGAGACCTGAACACAGACCACACATGACCACCACTTACAGCCTGTAATACATCAAACTCCGTCTAACCAGACTAAATCCAGTCCAAACTCTGAAGCTGGTCCCTGTGCCTTGGTTTGTTTCCTCCCACCTGCAGTCTGTAGCTTTTGGAGGCATGAGGAAAGGAAAAAGCATCTCAGTCAGCTTCCTCAGGTAAAGCAGCTCGTCTTTTCGGCTCTTCAGAGCGATGTGAAGGTCTGAGCCGTATTCATCCAACCCTGCCTGCTGCAGACCCTCCACATTGTGCACTGTGGACGATGACCAACATTAGCAGACAATACTTAATGTGTATCCATCAACACGTAGGCTTCAAGTCCTGATTCATAACTCCTAAAATATGCACACATCAATCCTAACATCAGACCACACTAGGAACTAGTTTTTCAACAAAGTCACAGTGTGTGCACCATCTAAGACAATAACTTCTGTAGATTAAAGGTGGGGGATACCTTTCTGTCGGGCTTTGGAAATTACTTCTATGTGCTTCATCGCAGCTTTCATCACTTTGTCTGCAAACACAGCAGGAACATCAACCTGAAAAAAAACCAGCAAATTCAGTATGTAGTTCAAAACTATGAACACAAAGAGGCCTAAACCTTCATACAAGATTATAGATGCTACAGTCTGTTTTACTTTTATTAGTTGAAGCTTTTCTGTTCCACAATAAATAACTTCCGAGCAGCTGAAACACAGAAGGTGCAGTGTGTACTCTTGAGTCCACAAAAACATACATGTTTGACTCCTTGACTCTTAGTGTAAATAAACCAAAAAGCAGGAAAAACCAGAAAAGCTGCAAGAACAAAACAAAATTGTTTGTTTTTAAGGAAAACTCAACAGACCACCAACTACCAGTCATTATTTGGTGAAATTTTGCAACTGACGTCACACTCCTTCTGTTTCAAAGTGATCAATTAGGGTCTGAAGTGTTGGTGTAAACATGCTGATGTCTTTTCTGATTTTACACCCATTAAAAACAAATGATTAAGATATCAAACATGCCGATAATTAGTGTCTTCCCATGTAAAAAGTTTATGAGTGTCACCTTCTGGGCACGGCGGATGAGCACTGATGCAAAGAAGCGAAAGGTCATCCTCAGTTCGTCTACACACGCCTCGTCATCTGTGATGTCCCTGAAAACGAGAGAAGTAATTTTAAAACCTCAAACTTCTCCACAAATGTTCCTTTCTTCTCCCAAACTCTTTCTGCTTACCTGTACCAGGGGTACACAAAGTTCTCAAGCACCAACTCAAACACCTGAAGGACAAGAGGAGCAAAAATCAGACATCAGACTCTGAAAAACTCTGCTGCTATCTAAAATGAAGAGTTCATCTTTTCAGAATAAAACTCATATAAATCACATAAATATGAGGACAGGATCGAGGATTGATGCTTATCCTCTCCGGTACCTCTGCTATTGAAGCGTCCACTTTTGAATGAACCTTCAGGTCCAACCATGGCTGATAGTTTTCCAGGAGCAGCGTCGGCCTGTGAGAAATAAGAAATACATGTATATATCATTAGTGTCTGCTTCCTAAGAGTATCTTAAATCACTTTACTGGACAAATAAAGACATCTGAACTTTCCTTAGTCAAAGGTTTCTGTGCTTGTGTAACGAATCAAAATTGCAGGAGCAAAATTCATATTTTCATCTGACTGTAATGCTGTTAGTACAGATACAGATCTCAAAGCAGACCAGCTATGGATTAAAATCTGTTTTTTTATCAAACAAAAGCCGTCATCACAGTCACGACTGAACAGTGGTTTTATTTCGGGATTTATAATGGATTAAAATACATCTGTAACATACTTGATTTCTGCGCAGTGAGTGATTTTACAGGAGAAGATGCCGCGGACTCACCGATGACGTTTGCACTTGACTTTTCCACAAACAGCACAGCTGTGTCCCAGAGGAAACAGCTCCTGCTCCTGCCGCTGTCAGAGCAATAAAACAATCACCTGAGTCACCGACCTGTCATAAACACTCAAATCTGCATGCACAAAACATGCACAGAGTTCCTGAAAATGTCCAGAATTTACCCTGATGATGAGTTGTATATTTGAAGAGAAACAGTTTAGTTTTCACCCCGGCTTCACACAGAATTTTTCCAGTGTCATTTCAGGGTAAAGCTCACCGCAGCAAAGTTTTCAGGTCTTCACCAGGGATTTGTTTGCCGTTTTTGCTGTTTCTGTTCACTGATAGAAACTTTTACATAGTCCACAAATATCCTCTATCCAGTAACACAGAATCACTTTATATCACACCACAGTCTGGTATATACCCGGGACGGAGCAACTGACATTTTCAAGAATTTTTCAGAGCATGTGTCTGAAAGCGGCTGGTTGTTTTCAGGATTAAACAATAAACACTTACTTTGTTTCTGGGCTTTACGCTAAAGAAGATATTGGGAAGGAGGGTCTCAGGTCCGAGGGAGCAGTAGAAAGTGATGACACCAGCCAGGAACGACCAGAAAACCATCAGGATGTGGATATACCTGCAAGGAGGGGAAAACTTCAGATTATTCATGAAAACATGGTTCAGATTCATTATAGGGTAAGATATGGAGCTCCTCTTTTCTCCACTGCATATCACTGCAGTAGGGGAGAGTAGGGTAAGATGAGACATTTTTCATATTTCAGATCACTACATCCAGGCAATCATAGTTTTGTCTCTAACTAGTGTATCTGAATATATTTCAAGATGTTGTGCATCCCTGCAAACCAACAGAATTATCTTAAAGAGCAGTGAGAAGAATGATAAGGACCTTTAAGTTAACTTATTAAAGCGCACACTCTGTGTAATATTATGGAATCGTGAGTTTAATCGTGATTCCCGCCCTCGCGCCAAAGTCCCGATCGAACTGAAGAACCGCAGTGATAAAAGCACGTTCATATTCCAGTTTACAGCTTGGAGTTTACAGGTCACATGACCCTCAGGGGACATGTTTGGAGGTAATCTGACAATCCTTCAGCTCGCCTATCGCTCTGATATCACCAGTTTTTGTTATTCTTACCTGTTGAGCAGCACAGTGAGGGACAGCATAGTCAGCAGCAGGAAACAGAAGACTGGATACTGACGACCAGCTTCTCTCAGGAGGTCCAGCTTCACTCCGAGGTTCAGGAACTTCAGAATACCTGCCATCCTTCACCCCGGCCTGCTGACAGCGTTAACATATGTTACAAATCCTCGCCTTATATGATTGAAATACCTCAAAATTAACTGTTTCAACTTAAAACCGATAAAAAGCATGACTCTCGGTTGAAAGTTGATGAAGCAGAGAACTCGGAGTGTTTGACGTCTGTGACCGTAAACGTTAATTTTCTACTTACATTGACAATAACACTAAAAAACCTCTTCAAACAAACGCAAACATTGTGTCCACAAGTTCAGTCTTCGTCTGCAATCCAGACTAGTCCCAAAATTCGAGTGTTTTCTTCATTTTTTTACTTCATGTTTTCCAGTTTTTTAAAGTCCCGACCCACTTCCCTGACAGATGGAATGTTTTCTAATCCTACAGCGGGTTGCCAGATCCGACTCAGAAACAACGAACAGAAGCGGAAAAAGCGGTTAGAAAACAGGTTTTCCGACTACATTACAAATTACTGAGTTCAAAAGCGAACAATAATGTACCTGCTAAATTTGGGTGTATGGACCGTGTTTATCCATCATTTTAATAAATAAATTGAGATAATATTTGCTTGACAATCAGTTTATCTCAATACTTGCCTTCATTTTTACTTATTTGCAGACAGTTCCATTATTTTTTTGTATTTCTTTTTTTTACATTTATTTTATCTGATGCTGAAACCTTTTGTAATCATGATAATCCCTTTTTTAACTTCCAAAGTTGATGTTTTTTTTTTTATTAATAATAAAAGAGGGTGAAAGGACTTGGTTTCTGACTTTGGAGAAAACTTCTAAACCCTTGAAGTCCCACAAGGAGAACAAAAAGAAACTTTTGTAAACTTGAAAGTAACTCGTACACAGAAAACAACTGGAAATATTGATAATCTTGTGCACAAAATGTCTCAGTAGTTATCATCAAGATAACTGAGTTAACCGGGTGACTAAATTAATTAACCAGGTAAACAAAAACCGTTGAGATCTCAACGAATTTTTACCTGGTTAAATAAATAAATAATCAATCAAACAAACAAACAAATGAACAAATAACGTCTTGTGGGGACGGTTCATTCAACAGTTTACACTTGGGGCCTCAGTAGCTTTGCAAAAAAATGAGTAAGTATGGTCAAATTTGCCTTTTCATTAAACGTACAAATGTAAGAAAACTGCCTCAAAAAGTATGATTTATCGAACAAAACTTTGTCATTGCCTGTAACTACACGGACATGGCAACCCAGAATCAAATAACGTCACTTCCGGCAGGGCGGTTTAAAGCGAGTTGACCGCTTCATAAATCGTTGAAGTTAGATTAAAAGACCTAGCTTTTTTTTTTTTTTGTTTAAATATTTTTTAATCCTTATTTGATACTATTTTTGTTTCATCAAACAGATTTTCATCAGATTATATTAGACACAGGACTAAGAAATGTCTCTGAAACCTGAAATGTGTGTGAAACTACCTCCTTTAAAGTAGTTTTGTAAAATAGTGACTGAGTTTAGTATAGAGTTATTTTAAATACTTATTGTTTACTGAGGGGCTCTGGAGGTTAAAGACAGGGAGTCTTAAAGTATAAAGATTATTAATGGTGTCAACTACTGCACTGGAGGTCAGTTTATAACTGGACAGGATCATTTCTAAACATGTTGACCACCAGTTAATGTTCGATTTATATTTTGCATGACGTTTACATTCAAGTATTGAAAGAAATACGAATAGGCCACAGGATTAAAGTCAATAACTTTATTAGAAAAATAGGTTTAACTCGCCTCGCTGTACAGTATAAAACATTTCATTTGCAAGAATGCAAACACACTTGTTAGCAAAAAAAACAAAAGACAAAAACATCTGACCCTTAAAATTGGAAATCCAACAGAGTCAGAACTAGTAAAAAATAATAATAATAATCAGGAGCTTTAACTTACACCTGATTAAAAATGGAAGAACAAGCTGCACAAACATTTCTGAGAACATCACTTTGTTTCAAATACAGCGGAAAAATGCAAAGACACTCAGGAAAGATGTTTAAAAAGAGCTTAAAGGAGAAATCCAACTTGGGAGATTCAGATTATATGTCAAATTCAACCCAAAAGTTCTGATTATCAGACTCTTACACAGAGCCATAAATCATAAATACTGCTAAATAATCAGGGCCCTATAATGTACCTAAAATTTATTGAATTAGAGTATAAGAGCGGTAACTTAATTCCTTTAAAGCAAACTAGAGCCAGAGCAGTTGTTGTGAGGTGGTTTCAAATTTAAAGTTTCTGGTTGGAAGTGACAGGCAGTAACTATGGATCAGTAACACTTAATAATAAGATCCTTGTAATGAGCGTTCATTAATGGTTAATAAGACCTTATAAACAGTTATAAACTGAGTTAATTTCCACTGCTATAAGACTATGACGCTCTACCTCCCGGATGTAAACAAGCACAGATGACAGATGACATCTCACAGTGCAGGGAAGTGGACTTGAACCTGTAGGGAGGACTGACCCTTATGGCGTCTAAATAGTTCTACATGCCATCTTAAATTTTATCGTACATTTAAAAATGTTACATGAAGTTGTATTTTCTCCTTTAAATTCCTTGCATATTGACTTCCAGTTCAACGTTTACACTGACAGTAAAAGACAGGAACTTACATGAATTTGTGGCATGATAAAACATCTACATTATGAAATGTATAGCCATGCTTTTGCTTTTGTTTTACATGCTTCCTTATCTTGAATTAAACCCATTTTCTTACAGATCTGCATACAAATTAAATGAAGCTGTATGAGAAGAAAAAAAAAAAAAACATTTGTACGTGCAGAGCAGACGTGCTTACAAAAAAAAAAAAAAGACAGGTTTTCCCATCAGAGGAAGACTTGAGTTTCCAGGCATTTGAGATTTTACAAAGAAAACAAGAACATTTAGAAACATCGTGTGTCTGTAAACTACATCATCACTCAGTTCAGTTTTTAAGACATTACGGCTCATTTCAGGAAGACCAGCTGATAGGCGGAGAGTAACGGAAGCCTACGTCAAGTCTGAGCTGAAAAGCAGAGCCTGATTTCAACTCTTGGACTGAATCAACACGATAAACCAGCAGCTGTGATTAGCTTGTTACAGGATCTGCTTACAAGACTGTGAAGAGAGATGGACAATAAGACAATAAGAAGGTGAAACATTCAGATTATGTTTAAAATGCCATAAACTTCCCAGATTATTCAGCCCGAAGGATTAAAAGGTCTCTCTTTATTTCTTTAAAATAGACTTTGATTTTAGACTGTTCTGAGAAGTAATTCAAGGCCAGACTGTGTAATTTTTACTTTAAATTTCCACATTAGCTACACTGTAAGATTCGTACTTCAAACCAACACCAGAACTTGTTTAGCTGGAGCAATATGAAGGATCTTTGTCATCTTATCGGTACATTAAATTCAGATTTGTACTGCTGAGACGGACTACAAACGCAGGAGGTATCACGGCTTCACCCTCGCGGCCCATCTTTAAGCACAGTCTGTGCTGCAGTCTCTCTATTGATAAGCTCGTTTGACCTATAACTGCTTTGGTTCAGCGTTGATTCCACCCAAAACTATAAACCAGGATGTCTCTCTTTAAGTGCTCTGTTGTAGCCTGTGCATCTCTGAGGGTGGGGGGGAGAACAGGGACAGGGTTTGGGGGGGGGTTCCTCAAGGACAAAAGAGGGCAGATCAGGTGAGTCCTTCAAACGGAGGTAGTTAACGGACCCTTGGTGGCTTTGGTTCTTGTAGGAACCATTTCCCTGGAATGCCCAGACCTTCAACAGCAGGTGATCACACCTCAACACTTCCTCTGATAATCAGAGATCACCAAATCCATCATAAAAGATGTAGTTTAAGAGCTTCAAAATAAAAATAAGTAGCAAAACTAAACACTCCAAACGTTAAAAAGTGCAAAGACTTTTCCAGAAGGATGTCCATCATGACCTCCTGCTCGGTCAAGTCTAAAGTAGCATATTTAGGGCTTTAAGGGGGGTACAGGGCAGGGGGGTTATAATCTTTACACTCTGGAACAGCAAGCTTAAGCTCTGCTCTTCTGATTATCTTTAAATGTGGCTGTTTGTTTGAGAAGTGTGAAAAAAGGCTGGAATACCATTGGACCACTGAGTCAGGTGACCTTACCATCCCATCCACTGGCAGCCCGCTGTGAGTGACGCCAAACACGGGTCAGTCTTCATAGTGACTCATCAGGACCAGCCTCGACCCCTTTTTCCTGCTAGTCAGGTAACAAAAGGAAGCAATTAGAGAACAGAAAACAGGATCATGTAACATCTACACACATCTACTGTTCTGTACGATGGCCCTGAAGGTCAACTGCACAAACATTTCACAACCGCAAGAATGTTTCAGTGAACCTGGAACACATTAAACACAGAAGTATTTCTACAGACGCATGAACGTCTCACTAAATGTAAAGATGTCTCTTTGAAAAATTAAAAAATTCCAGAGACCGTGGACGATCTCTGGAAAGTGAAAACAGTTCCACTAAAAATATCAACACATAGAAACAGTTTCTAAAAATGTATCTCATTAAACATCAAAAATTGTTTTAAAATGTAAAAAATGTTAAGAGTGTGAATTTCCCACACAAAGCTTAGATGTTTTAAAAATCGTACATTACACAAAACTTCAAATTTTTTCGTTGAAAAAAGTTTCACAACCTTAAAAAAGGTTTGAAAAAATGTAATATGTCCCCAAAAAGGACAAAATACTGAAGATTTAACCAAGAAATAAAAACCATAAACAAAAAAATTGAAAACATATTTGAAAAAATTGAAACATATCAATATAAAAATGCAACTCAAAATCACAAAATGTTGCTCAAAAAATTTAAAAAGTTAAAACAAAATTTTTAATGTTTGACACAAATTGTCCTTTAAAAAAGTGGAACAGATTTCAAAAAAGTTAAAATATTTAATCCAATCCATTTTTTTTTCAAAAATATGTCCTGAACAATCAAAATTATGTTGCAAAAGTTATAACTTTTTGCATTTCTTGAAATTTTTACATTTACTCACATTTTTTTTAACTTTACAAAAACATTTTTGAAAATATTTTTGTTGCGTTAAAAGGGTCTTTTGATTGTGTAAATCGTTTTTTATTCCACAAAAAAAGTTCTCTCGCATAAGATACAGCTCTCTGAAATATGGTAACAGTTTGTAAAATGGTTTCTTTTGTTTAACAAAAAAATTTTTTCTAGAGTTTTGCTCTTTTGAAATATATCAAATTTATCCTGATTTGTTAAAACATTTTTGCGTTCAGGAAAATGCTTCCAGGGTTCAGTTAACGTTTTTCTGCAGTCGTGAAATGTCTGTGCAGTTGGCTTTCAGGGCCACCGTAGTTCTGTGCAGCTCTAACACTCAGTATATAACTGTAGAGGAACGACTGTGTAAACATGAATCTGCATTAGACAAAGCATTCTCACAGGCTCTGATTGAACATGCACATGTCAATGCCTTCAGTTTGAGTTGTTACAATCGTTTGAGGTGCGGCAGGTGAAGACGTGGACAAACAAGCAGAGAAAAGAAAAAGGAGGAGGAGCTTAAGAGCAGCCACAGCGCCTATAAAAGCAAACTGAACAGAAACACTACAAGCGAGTCATGCAAGGCAGTTATCTCTCACATTAGCACAACGTCAATCCTCCAGGTACACATGCAAGATTAGTATCCAGGCCTTCAACAGCTAGGTAGATCCTTCTGGGACAAGGAAAAGCTTCTCTTTGGACTTAATAGATCAAATTGTGCTTTTATCCCCCCCTTGTTACAAGAGGGACCATATGAAAGACTGGTAAGGGGGGGCGGGGCGGGGCTTCAACTTAATGCTGCATTGACAGTGAATTTGGCACACCAATTTGTGAGACATTTATGTTTTTTGGACATGAGAGGAACTCATAAGGATGGAGTATGTCACTACACATACAGAGCACTTGAGATGCCGACTGTAGAAGAAGTAGGTGATTTGGAATTTGATGGCATGCAAGGTGACATTGGAGCATGTGGCCAACATTGGCAAACCTTTAGTCCATTTTCTTCCACAAGGAGCCTTAAATTTGAAGGCAATTTGAAGAGAGAATTTGCCGAAACATGAATTTGCAACACAATTTGAAGTTTTGTACACGTGTGCGTGTATGTTTATTAAAGCAGACAAACAGCAAAGAATACAAGCCAAAATGTAAAGCCAAAAAATAGGACTACTACGGTCCTTTTTTTTTTCTCTTTTCAATAACAAGACACGCATTACTTTGTGACAATACAAATTGTATTTTCATTTGTTTTAAATACATGTTTAGGAGACATATGCGTTGTTGCTGTTAGCTACTTAAAACATGGAAACCAGAACCTCTAGAAACATACATAAAGCTATAGCCAAATAGACAGCTCGAGCACATATTTGCATCTAAAAATTTCTTTCAAACTTGGTTATGGAAAATCTTTTAAACGACCATCTTTTAAAAAAAACAAAGGGATAAAAAGAAAAGCAGTTCGCCAGAAACAGGTGGGAGTGTGACTACTGTTTGAGTCCAAGCGGATTATTAAAATATGTACAAAAAGATATCTTGCCAGATGTCACCCAATTTTGAGGAAAAAACGCAGGCAACCGTATGGGATTGAGGGCCAATCAGATCAAGTCTCTAAATAAAAAGACAAAAACAAAAACAATAAAACACGTATTTTTTTTATCAAAGCCCTACTGGTTTACTTCCACTGTTGCCCAAAAGAATCCTGATAAAATTCCTGGTTGTCGGATTTGTAACCGGAATAGTTACCAGAATGATCACCACCTTGGAGCGGTTGCTGAGCAATGGGTTGAGAGCCCCAGTTCTGATTATTGGTCTGGCGACGCTTGGAATCTGGCTGGTTGTACCCATCAGCTTTGCGCTTTCCTCCTACATTTCCACCGCGGCCACCCCGAGCACCACGTACCCCTCCTCGCCCTCGCGGCTGCATGGATCCTCTCACGCCCCGTCCGCCGCCACGACCTGGTCCTGGTCCGCCACGCTGGGAGAAGTTGGCCCTGCCCCTGGGTGCCCCGGCGCTGCTGCGTCCCCTGGCTGGTGAGGCTCCGCCTCTAGGACCCCTGTTGCCGCCTCGCCCTCGTGCCGGAGCCTGGAAATCGTCGTACCCGTAGTAGGGGTCGTCGTAGCCGCCACGGTAGTTGTGATAGTCATAGCCGTAGTAGTCATAGTAGTCCTCATAGCCGTAGTAGTCAGGGGGGTAAGAGTAGCCGCCCCTGTTGCCACCTCTGCCCCGGCCTCTGACAGGAGGAGGCATGTGGGAAGGAGGAGGGTAGTAATAATAGTCGTCATACCTGGAGAAGACGGGAGGAGGAAACGAATAAAACCAAACACAATAAGACTTCTGTTTTCAATTTCTCTTGATAATTTATGATGAGAAACACCAGCCACATTCATCTCTGTAATGGCATCACAGAGCAAGTACCATCAGCACACACTGTTGGCATTGATAGCTGTTTGATGCTCACACATGGGAGCATGTTGGCGTCATTTATAGTGGGCAGACCAAAAGCTCTGGTTTTTAGCAGAGCAGCCACTCTGTCAGTCAAAAACAGATCTCATGCAGTGCACTGCAGAGATGGTAAGCCCAAAGACAGAGCCTCACTTATTCAAAAGATTTAATCACACACTGGCGTTAAACAATACTGTTGTTTTAGGACTGATACCAGCGCAGATTATTAGTCGCTCATGAGACTGTTTACCCATCATACTTTAAAGCCAATCTGCACCAACAGTAACAATGAAAAGCAGTCCAAATTTCAATACAGAAATTTACAGACTCCAACAGAAAGCTTCACTTAAATGCCATGAGAAGACATTCAGTTGAATCTGAAATCTCCTACATCATAAACAAGAGTCAACACTTAACCAGTGACACTTAAAGTCCAGTCACACAGTCATGAGAGAGTCACACCAGCCGCTGAGCCAAAACAGTCCTTTTTTACTCATTTCATTCACTTTGGCCATCAGTAAAAGGTCAATACAGCTGATCGGCCAAATGGTGAATATCACAAACAATCAGTCTCCCTCTAGATTTCTCTACATCCATCTCTGTGTTACATCACCCTCAAGACTTCTACCTATTTTGAGATTATTGGATTACACTGTAAATAAAACCGCTTTGAATCTTTCCAGAAAATGAATTCACGCAGAAGAAGTGCACATATATTAAAATCAACAGTTCGTAGTGCTCGTTACTTACATGTGCGTCTTGGCGGCGTGTCTCTGTGCTTTGCGCTCTTTCCTCTTCTGATCTGGTGGCTTGGCAAAAACAATCTCAATCGGCTCTCCTTCGAGCTCCTTCCCGTTCATCTCTTCCAACGCCTAAAAGAGAAATTTTTGATGGGTTCTCATTTCATTTAAAGCTGAGGAAATGTCGTTACTCCTCATCAAAGTTTGTATTGCAGAATTTAACAGGATTCATGTTGCATTAACATCACAGAAGAGAAACAGGAAAGGATAATTACCTTCACAGCACCGTCCCTCTCCTCAAAGTGAATGAAAGCGTAGTCTTTGAGTTTCTTCACTCGCTCCAGTTTTCCAAACTCACCGAAAGACGTCTCCAGGAGCTCCTCTGTGACATTGTTGGCGAGGTTCCTGACAAATAAAACCTTTACCTGCAAAGCAGACACGCAAAATCTCAGGTCAGCTTCAGCATTTATGCTATGACTTGATTCTCATGAGTTTAAATTCTGCCGTTTCCATGCAAACGTTTATTGGGGACTGTCACCTTGGCCATAACCTCGGGATCGGGATCCTCGATGGGATCTGCCCACTCCACGGTCACCACGTTTCCCCACACCTTTACTTTGCCGCTCATTAGCCTGCGGCGAGCCTGAGCAGCTGTTTTATGGTCTTCGTACTCGAGGAAACAGAAACCACGGTTCTTCTTTTTGTCGTCGGGTTGATGGTACAGTATGACGTCACTGAGGCCCTCTGTAGAAAAAAAACACAAAAAGCATTAAATCATTCGAATGATTTCAGACTCATCCGCATTTCCTTCTATACGATCATCAAGACACTTCAATTTTCTTCTTCTTTCACCTGTGACTTTAGCAAACTCCTCTACAATCTGCTCCTTTGTTTTACTCTTCGGAATGGAGCCAACAAATAGCCTGTTGTTGGCGACAGATATACACACTCCGATGTGTTTGCCAGGGCGAATCTCGTGATTATTACACTGTTGAATGAGAAAACAAAAAAAAAAACATGAACCACTTGAGATAGCAGACATACAACAGAAACCTTTTCCAACAATATGACACATGATATCAAACCAGGGGAAGGTACATCTTCTCCGGTTGAGTTTGAATTCCAGTCTTCTAGTTTACTGGCAGTGGAAAATCTGCACATTCAAGTTACTTGGCTGTTAAGCAACATATGCAGTCCTGACTCATCTCTTTTCCAGGCTCACTATCCAACAAGAAAAGCTGCCATCATAATCAATTTATCTTGGATGGACTAACCAGTTTCACCGCCTCCTGGGCTGCCTCTTTAGTGCAGAAAGTGACGAAGGCATAGCCCCTGTTCAGGCCGCTCAGCGGGTCCATCATTAACCGGAGGTCCCAGATAGGTCCAGCCTTCTCAAAGAGAGGAACCAGCTCATCTTCAAACAGGTCACGGGGAATCTTCCCGACGAATATCTGCAAGAAAATAAAAACAATTTTTATACACTTGGGATTTAGACACCCTTTCAACCTCTGTTCTCTTTTTAACGCAGGACAAACTGTAAACAAACAAAAAGCTACCAGAATCGACCAATCACAACACTTCTTTCTTCACTTATAGCTGCTTCATCTGACAAACATTTCCACTCAACATCTGTTTGAATTAAACATACAAGACGACAGATACCTCAGTCCCCACTGTGGGTTGGGCGCCTGTGTACACTGACTCAGGAGGGGGCCCGCCGTACTTCCTCTGGCCTGTTGTAACATCGAGTGTGTAGTTTGTTCTGTCCAGGAGTTCTTTGATTTTTGCCTCGTCTGGCCCTTTGGTGGGGTCTGAAACTTTCGTCCCCTGTTTCTCCCTCTGCCTGTAAGTCTTCATAACCCCGCACAGAAAGGCACTTTTGTTCTGCAGGGGGAGAAGAACTGGGTTAGAAAAGTAGGCTCCTGCAGAACTGTGTGTATAAACCGAGTTTTTTAAACCAACTTTAACCAACATTTGTCTTCCAGGGATAGAAAATGTATACATACACCACTTTGTACACTCTCTGTAAGGTGATTAAACTTACTTGCACGTGTGACAGATCACTCTCTTTGAACTGGAGCAGCACCTGCAGAGCTCCATCCTCACTGAATTCTTTCAAAGCATCAATAGCCCTTTCGTCTAGGTCACTATGTGCTACAAGGCCTAATGAGCACAACAGAAAAGAAGAGTTAGGTTTCCGGTTACTGCTGAGAATGTATGCATGACTCAGGCAGCTATGAAGGACTTACACAACAGAGGCTTAATAATAATTGATCTGCAGCGGAGAAAATGTCGGCTGACTGCACAAAGGCCTCATTATATCCAGGTCTTATTATCTGAATATAACACAGCGTATACGCATTTTACAGCTTTGCATGGTGCCGAATTTGGATGCGATAAATCTCCTTAAGACGCACGTCAGAAATCAAACAGCACAGTTTTTAATCTCAGTATCAGCAGCTCTGTTATCATCCTTGTTCCTGCTCCTGCTCGGAGAGAACAATTCACCTGCTGCCGGCAGACAGCTGCTCTATTGTTTCCTGTGTGTGACACAGTACCAGCTGGCTTCAGTCTACCTCCCTTGATCTCTTCACAGGGAGCCTACACACCCACTCTCTCATCCATTCAAAGCGGAGTCTTTACTTTAAAGCAGTACAATACTACGTAACTTCACAATCACTCGGGCGCTTTGTCGGGGATTTCACTGATTCCTGCAGGGGGGAATCATGGCAGGATTTTCATCTGTGCACAACTTTAATCTTAACTTGACAATACAGTGTTAGTATTTTCTTTCTGCTACCAGGAAATCGAATCTCTACACCTATGTGCTTCGCTCATGTATAATTAATGACTCTATATGGTCCCATTTCTTTAACTCGGGTCATAATATCATTCCTTATTGACTATTGCAGTACACTCTTTGTTTCAACAACACTGACACTTAAAGAAAGAGCAGTTTCTGTGCTAGATGGCTTTTTAATGGAGGGAGCGACAGAGCAGGTAAACAGATACACAACCAGCAGGAGGAGTTCAGTTGCACACTAAAGGCTCACTCTGAAATCAGGCTGCTCAAATGTTTAATAAGAAAAAGATATGATTTTTAAAGCCAAGACACGACAACAGAGCTGATGATTAATACTGCTGATGTGTCATTATTTTAAAAATACCAATTTCATCAGTTTTACAAACGATAATCGACAATAATCCACCATTCAGAGATCAGCAAAACACAAAAACACGCAGATTATTTTCCGAAATAGCTTGACAGCCATTAATTCTGATCAGCTATCAGGGTGAATGTATGCTTTTTTTTTTTTTACCAATACAGGTTAGGCTTTTTAGACCAATCATCTGTTTTCAATCATTCATGTCAAAGAGCATAAATCCAGCTTCATTTGCAACAGAGAGCAAACGTGCAAGTAACCCATCATGGGCATCCATGTGGCTAAAAAAGTCAGCGTGAAAATACGATTAACTACAAAGCTAAAAGTCTGACAGTCAAGTGCAGTGCATGCAATAATAATGCTGCTTAAAGAAGCAATAGAGCTGCATTCAAAACGACCAGTTTGATACGACTTCTGAAAAAATAACATGCAGCTGTGTTCACTAAAGCGAGAGAGCAAAAGGCTGCCGCACCACACTCTGGACCTTAAAAGGAGATTAAATATCCCGAGAAGCTGGTTCAACTCATCGCTCTGGACAACAGGCCAAACTTTATGGAGGAATGTGCAAGTTTTTGCCGCCTTTTGGAGCTGTATGCTTCCATATATTCTACCACAAAGCACTTTTGAAGATGTGCAGCAAGGTTTGAGGGGACTGAAAACAAAATGTGACCAGCTCTTCGTTCAAAAACAGACTTTTGTATCATGTCACTGCTCAAGACCTCACCAAGATCATTTGTTTACTTTAGGTCCGGGTCTGAAATCAACCATTTAAGTCATCAGGTGAGTTGGCAGGTAAATGAAAAAATCTGCAGAGCAAGCACATTTTTAACCGGCTTTTCTGCTTTGGAAGAAAAGGTGTCAAGCTCTATTACTGAGGCAAACACAATTATCAGATCAAGACTCTGTGTTGGCAGATACTCAGTATTAAAAACAATCCAATCAGGGGCCGAAACACTGAATGGTACATCTCCAATTCATATTCAAAATCAATCAGGAAACAGTCAATGGTTGATTTGATAGGTGAGTGAGAATATCAGTTTGTGTTTTCAAAACCCAAACCATTTTTTTTAATCACAAAGCAACATGTACCATTTGTTTCAGTCTTTGATTGGACATTATTTTCAATAAGAATCACCAGATTTCTCCTTGTAAATAAAAAGCTGAAATTCCTCACATTTCACCTGCACATCACAAACCAAACTTAACAACAGTAGAGTTTGCGTCTCAGTTCTCTATGATCTTCTTGTCCTCATAACGAAACTCTAATAAAACCACAGGAAAACTCGGTCGGTTTCACTCACCTGCTACGTAAAGTTCATCTAGTTTCTCAGCAACTTTTTGAAGTAATCCAGCTTCCAGTAGTGCTGGGAAATGTTCTGAGTGGGTCACTGCAGCAGTAGTGTCCATCGGTTCCTCCGTCCCATTCCCGTTTACATGATCTGTGGCCATGTCTCCAGACATCTGTGCATTAAAAGAGACGCAGAATTAGCAGCGTAGGTGCAGTAGTGAGGGGTAATTAGGGCTGACAGTTTAGGGTCCCTCTCTACATCTGAGCCTGGGACATGTCTCCTCTTGAATGTTCAGTGTTGAAGGGAAATATTTTAAGCGAGAAACACATATGACTGAATCTGATTAAGTTGTTTTCATTAAATCATTCATAAAAGCCAGGAGATGATTATGTACACAGTTACTTTAAGGCTCTTTTTTCACCTCAAAACAACATTGGACCAGGTCCTGATCCAGAACTACAATTCTGAGGGTTTACAAACCCGGACTAAATCAATTTTGGAGAGGCAGAAGGCTCTATAATACACAATTGTACGTTTAAAAGTCCTTTTTTATATCTAAAAGGCATAAAAGGGGTGAGTGCATTGTGTTATTTCACCTCATGACCACATGGAACCAACTCATGATCCAGAACCACAACACCTTGACTCCTCAAATCTGGCCTTAACTGTCTTTGTTTACTGTTGTAAACACAAAATTAAGGTTTCAAAGAGACTGCAGTCACACCAAATGAACTGAAGCTTTATCGGAAAGGTCCAGGTCTTGTGTGGTCTAAATGGAAAAAGCTGAAAAGGTGCCCCTTTTCTACATTTCCACAAATAGACTCAAGGCTTTATAAACTGGCTCTGTGCTGTGAGATGTCCGAAAGACTCTCTCAGATGATCTAATCCAAACTTTGCACATTTATGTAAAGTGGTTTAGGATCGGGACCTTTGGTGCAGACAGACAGAAAGGCAGGAGGATTGCTTAAGTCACAAATTTCAGACTGTGTCTTAGAGAGGCTTTAGTTCCACTGAAATTTGAGAAGTTAAACGTATCAATGGCCTGGTCTACTTTGATTTAAAGATGAAAAAAGCATATATATCACGTCTTGCATCTTCAAGTCTGCACCAAAGGTTTCACAAAGCTGAGATTTCTGTTTAAAGGAGCTGCTCCTCTTTCTAAAGCCGTCCTGTCCAGATCTGAGGAATCTAGGTATTGGGATTATTGATCGAAACCGTGTCCCATGTGGCCCAGAGATTAAACAAAGCCATGAAAATGCCCTTTCATGCATTTGAATACGGGTTTCACAAACTTGCTGTGTTTCAATGAATCTGTAGACTCTCTCAGATGATGGGAGTATCATAACTCCAGATCAGGTTGTGTCCTAATATTATCTAAGAGGGAAAACCACTGGAATCGCCGTTGTGATTGCATTTCAAAATTAGAACAAAGCTTTTACAAATCTCATACATGTTTTAAGAAGTATGTCATCTCTCCTTGGTAGTCTGGTCCTGATCTGACCAGTGTAGATATAGTGTTTTAGAGTCAGAACCCTGTTTCCAAACTGTCCAACGACCAGTGTGGTCCAGATCTTGGAGTAACAATCTTAAAGTCTAGATAAGTCAGACTTCAGGAGAAACTAAAATAATGGTTAGGAGAGATGTATGTTGATTGGGACTGTCTCTGTTGACAAAGTGAGACCTGATCTGAGCGGGCGCTGTTATCTCTGCACACAGATATGAAACTGAAACAGAGTCACGCTGGAGCAACAAGCGCTGAACAGGACCACGACCGCTCGTTCTGCCCTTTCACTCACTTAGCAGCCAATTTAAGCCGTTAGTTTCTTGCAAATACAGTTATTAATCTGTTTTTTCAGCCTACGATCCGCCTCGGCTAGCGTACCTACATTAGCGCTTACTGACTGTACAGGCCTCAGTCCTGACCGCGCGCGTGGAGTTGCAGACTGTATGAGGATAATGCATAAAGAAAACCACCTAAAACCACAGCTTTTACTCTTGCTGAAAGCCTCGATATCAAAAGCACATTACCAATTATCAATCGACTGTTTTACACGCCGTTATTCCGGTCAGTCATGTTTGTCAAAATGCCGGTTGGTCGTGAATAAGAGCTGCTAACAGCGGCTCTCACAACGATCCAACACCGATGGTGGCGCTCAATATAAACACAGCGTTTCCCCATAATGCAAATGTGAATTCTTTGTGTACTTACCATGCGTTTCTAAACTCGGGTGCACGATGCTGATCCGCCGTGTTGAAGGTGCTTAAAATAAAGGAAAATAATCACGCCGGCGTTTGTTAGGATGGTTTCTTTCCTCCCGGTGAAACAAAATGGCGGCTACGTAACGTCGCGAGCTCTGCTTGTCGCCAGCATGTAAGGGGTTTTCCAAACGACTTCCCACGGGCTACTCAGCTTTCACACATCCGGTATTCTGTCGAGTTGCGCTGCCACGTCTGAAACTGTTACCGACGGCTAAGGAAAATTTGAGTACAGAGTTACTTGATTTAACATTACTCATCTCTCGATATCTATTCATAGACACCAAGAATTATGTTATGGCGTTGAGGATTCTGGGGATCCATTCCTCAAATGAACAATGTCCCCGTCAAACAACCACCAAGCGCAGAATAATTATAATAATATTTCAAATTCAAGACAACAGTTTTATTAATTACTAAAAAAAAATATGTGATTCACGTTTGACACTCGATCATGACATCGCTCCATTCGAGCCGATAACTTTCGAGAATGGGGCAGCGGTTAAAAAGAGGGTTGTGGATCTGTCATGCTATGACCTACTCCGTCCAGTAAGAGCGCAAAGAGGGTTGTGGATCTATCACGGCTTCGGATCTACTTGGCTCTCCGGCCCTGCAGGCTCCCCCTACCTTGGCCAGTCTAAGTTTACTGTTACCGCTAAAAGCGCGTCTCTCCATACAGGATTGGTCTTCATCTATTACAATTTATTTATTTATCTGCAAGTAATAACATTTACACTACTTTTTTGGTTTGTCTTGTACTGTTTGACATGGATTTGCAAAACAAACTTTATTTAAAAAGTACCTTGTCCATTTGTAGGAATGAGAAGATTTTTTTCCTGTATTTTGTACACTAGCTTAAAAAATCTAATTATGGATGATGTACCATTATATGGTGAATCAACATATATTTTTTTGCAAATATTACATTTATGGAGGCTACTTCTATATGATGGGTAAATATTTGGATTGTGTACTATCTATTGCTGTTAGTTTTCAACCAACATTATAATCTAAATTAACTGGAATTAAATAAACCAAAATTGCTTGAAGTGTTTTTATTTTCGTTTACTTTATGTCTAAATGTTTTAGTGTGTAATTTGGTCTATCAACTTTTATTTTTGTAGTTGTTGTTTTTTTGTTTTTATCCCGGAAGTTGCGTCTCGTTTTGGGGCGTGGTTTTTAGCCTGACTCTGAAATCCTCGCGTTGCTATAGGCTGAGCGCGAAATTTGAAATGCAGTTCGAGCAGACGCTTCTCCTCCGAGGCGACATGAAGATGTAACGATGAAACTGACTTTTAGCAGAATTCACCGAATAGTTTAATACCAAAAAACGAAATTACGAGTTTAAAGGATTTTGGGATTATTTTGATGAGAAATGGATGTCGCTTCTTACTTACAGTAAGTCAACGTAACATGTAAAGTGACTTTGTGTCTGCTTCATGTTAGCGGTTATGTTGGACGGTGCGATCTCTGCTGTTAGCTTTACTTTAAAGCAGCATCTGGTTGAAATTATAAATCCACGATCTTTGCTTTCAGGTGTTTTGAGAACAGTTTGAGCTCATACACAGGAGAAGACCTGCTGGAACCATGGGACAAGTGAGTATTTTGTCTGTGCAGAGAGGATCCGGGTTGGTTCTGGGCGTGTTTGATTGTACTGACAGAAAACAAAGCACTCGTAGCTTTGAATCTTCATCATATTTCCACAGACTTATCTTACTCTTGTTTATTTTCTTGTTAAGTGCATACCTGCCTGCTTTTAAACGTCTGTAACTACAGCTGAAGAGCTTCAGATGTACATCTTACTGCTCCCAGAGCTGCACTGCCCTCTCCTTTTTTTGTACACTGAACAAAAATATCAACTCAACACTTTTGTTTTGCTCCCATTTTTCATGAGCTAAACTTAAAAATCTCAGACTTTTTTTCTATGTACACAAAAGGCATATTTCTCTTAAATATTGTTGACAAATTAGTCTAAATCTGTATTAGTGAGAACTTCTCCTTTGCCAAAATAATCCATCCACATCACAGGTGTGGTATATCAATATGCTGATTAGACAGCGTGATTATTGCACAGGCGTGGCTTAAGATGGCCACAAAAACAAAAATGTTGTATTTATATTTTTGTTCACTGTAGTTAAGGATGCAGTGTCTGTGATTTCCAAAAAGAGTCAAACTTCTCATTAGATCACAAGACATTTTCCCATTTAGGTTCATTCCATATTTAGAGGACCCAGTGTTTCTGGGATATATTAATATACAGTTTCCTCTTTGCATGGTACAGGTCAAACCTGCATTTGTTGATGCAAAAACCAAACATGTTGTCACACTGTTTCTCTGTCAGCTCCTCCAAACTGTCTGCGATAGACACGAACCTAACCAGTGCATGATTATGAGATGCCACAGAGAGGAGAGTTAGCCTTCTGGAGGGCGGCTTGAGCATTGCATTTATAAAACTGCACTTTCTTAAATGTTTGTGCAGTCATATTTATAAGTTCTTCGGAGCTTAACTGCTGCAAAACTATAATAAAGTAACAGCTTTATTCACTAAATTTTAAAACGGCTCAAGTGCTGTACAAAGCAACACAGAGTAAGTTACCTGGTAACTTCACTGAAAAGCATGTGGTATTTGAAAAACAACCTAACCTCCCTTTGTGTTTCTCTCAGGTTTGTGGAGTACCTGGAGCAGAACTTACCTGCAGACAGCAGAGACAGGATGTCGGTGGTGTTTGACAATCTTGTTCAGAGATTTATTGACATCAAACAATACGCCAACGACACCAGATATGTGAACTACTGCATCAGATGTGTAAGTCTGATCTAGCTATTCCAGAACCCGATTTTCTGGACATCTCACATGGACATTTCTGATTATTTTTCTGTCTTACAGGCAAGTTATTACTCGGACCCCATCGCTCTGTACAGCCATATCTACAGTAAAGGCATCGGCACCAGGACAGCCTCCCTGTATGTGGCGTGGGCGAGGCAGTTTGAATATAGGGGCATGAACGAGCAGGCTGATGCTGTTTACCAGAGAGCCATGGAGAACCAAGCCCAGCCTGGTGACGCTGTTCTCAGTGAATACAGGTAAAAACAACAAAAACACGGGTACACCAGGCATCATTTAAGAACAATAGAGATTACCAGAAGAAGAACAAGAGGGAAAGAGGAACAAAATGTCAACACTTTGTGGTTCTTGTACACTTCTACAAATGTTAATTGTTGTGTAGAGGTTTAATTTGGGTGTAGTTTAATATTTGCACAGGTTTCAATTTTAATTTCTGAACAAATGTACTTTTACACATTTATTACTACCATACATGCTGTAGTTAAAATTTTGCTTTTGCACAAGCTTAATTTGTAAATATGGGCGGGAAGGTGTTACTTTTTTTTTTATTCAACAGTCAAGTCCTGAAAAATCATCAGAGAGACAGTTTCGTGGTGGTTTTGGATGTTAAACCCCCGACACGCTGTGTTCTCTACTGTACTTCTGAAATTTAGCATTTTTCAGCATTAACACCTAACTCTTACTGGGTGTTAAATAGTTTTTACAGTGTGCTCTGTGGATTTATACATGTGCTGAAACTATTATGTGATCTACAGGCAGTTTCAAACAAGAGCAAAAACACCGGCACAAGTATCAGGTGAGAGTTTATTACTTATTATTATTAGTTTTTTTGTTTGTTTGAAAATTTGACAAGAACCTTTTTTTTTCTTTTTTTTTTAAGAGTTTGATATCAGATACTTACTTTATTTTCCAGATACAGGAGCCCGAACCCCGTTGAAAAACTCTCATTTAACCAATCAGATGACCTGTCACAGAGAGCCAGCAGCTCAAAACAAGGTCTGTATCTTTAAATAATCACTGAATTAAATCATTAAATTAATATCTCATTTCTGCTTTTAATCCACTGCCATTTTTCATTCTCTAGGCTCCAGTTGAGTGTCCACCCAAACCACCAGCTCATAAAACTACAGTGTTGTAAGTTAATTTTCATCAGTAGCTCTTTTTTCATTCTGAGACTCATCAGCAGTCCAAGAATGAATGACAGCGTTTGTGCTTCTACACTGAGATATGAAATACACGTGCTGTAGTTTGAGATATTTACCCTTACACCATTTAATCTCCTCTTCAGTGTGTCCCGCTCTGAGACTTCAGGAACGATTCCTTCGTCGCAGAGCACCGGCGTTAAGATCGTGTCCGAGTACATGGTCGAGGAACTCGTCTGTGAAGGATCCGAACTCTGCTTCGAGGAGGTCAGAGCGATGAAATACTTCAGCAAGCTCAAAGAGAAACAGGAAACGGCGAAACAGGAAACGGCGAAACAAGAAGAGCCGGAGAAAGAGCTCGGAGTTAAAGGTGAGCTGATGGATTTGGATCAGGATGAGTAAGAACTTTTTAAAAAATGAATGAGGAAAAGATTTCACATGGCATTGATGTACAAGTTAACAAGTTTGGGCTCTAGGATGGAGCCTTGTGGGACTCCACAGTCAACGTTTCTATACTCAGATGTAGCGCGAGAAACTCCACCATTACCGTCCTTTATCCAATAACTACTCAATTAATGCTTCCTCTCATACCATATGTTTGCAGTTTTATAGCACTGAATGTTTTTTTAAATTGATAAACACCTCCAGTTGTATATTTTTTACCTTTTGCTCTGATATTTTTGATCATGTTAAAGCTGCAGTGAATTTGTTTGAAAGTCACACTGACTCACATAGTTTATTTATTCTTATTCATCAAAGAATGAATCAAGTTCTTACCGTCTGTGTTTCAAATTAACTTTAACTTTTGGCTTCATTTATGAACTCGCTGTAAGGTGTTTCAAACCTTTCATCAGCTTGTTAAGTAAATATTTTATACATTATAAGTTGCCTTTGTAGTAACGTTTTTTTTTTTTTGTTCTGTTTGCAGAGGAGGAGGCGCTGAGGAAGATTGAGGGGGGGCTTCAGGACTTCAAGATGATGGTGCATGAGCTATTAACCATGCAAGGATTGTCCAGCCAGCCGTCATCACATCAGGTGAGGCTGATCATTGATTCTTTCTTTTCCTTTTCTGTTGTATTGTTATGTGAGTTTTATTATTATCATCATCATAATTATTATTCTAATTACAGCCACCATGCAGAGCCATCCCTAAACAACCTCCTCAGCTGACCAACGCTGAGGACGCTAACACAAACGCTATGAGCGCAGTCAGGTCTCTTCATCCCTCAGTCCTGCCTGACAGGAGCTTTCATTTACCTGAAACTGCAGCAGCATTACTGTCCACGGACCAGGTCTCTGTGGTTCAGACTTCAGTGATTCAGCCTCAGTCTGTTCATCAGCCTGCAAACTTCAGTCCAGTAAACCAGTCACTCCACACACCTCCTGTGAACTCTGAAGATCTTCGTCAGGATGGTGGAAGTCAGCCGAGCGGCTCGGAGCGCTGTGGACCACAGGAGCACAGCACCACAAACCTGTGAGTAACACGATAAAGTCATTCATATCAGTACTGAGAGGGAGTGACTGATGATTTTAAAGGTTTGTTAATACGAGTCTCTCACCTAGTTCAGACTGGGATTGCACCTGTTTTAAGATTGTATATCTAAAAATCAAGAATCGGTCTGAAACATGACTGGAAAACTGAGTTTAAGTCCTGTTTTACCTTCTACTGACAAGGAAACTGATATTTATGGTTATAGAAAATGTTACCTGAAGACTTTGTGTTTCTGTTCCCCTTCAGGAATGTCGGTCACCCCCCAGAGCCGGAGGAGAACCTAAACAGTAAGTGAAGCTTTTGTCTGCGAGTTCATCCTCTTCCTTCAAGACCTGGGTATCTGAAACCTCCTCTTTCTCACTCTCAGTGTCACAGGGGGGCACAGCAAACCTCTCTCACATCACTCCTAACACCTCTCTGGGCTTCGTTCAGGCCACACCGTCACGGGTGCTGCCGTCACCCACCGTCAACACACGGGAAGCACTGGGTGAGCACCAGGAGCTTTTTTCTTTAATGTTCAGGATGTTTGATCTCTGTTAGAGTCACATAAGTGAGAGTTTAAATTTAGAAATCTACTTTTCTTATGCTGCTTGCTCACTTGTCACCAGAGAAAGTGGATTTAAGTGTTTGTGCTGCTAAATTTCTGCACCTTTGTTGCTCTGTTAAGACTCGAAATCTCAGTTTTCATGAATGGATGCAGCCTGAAGGCCATAAAAGTCTACACCTGTGCAGTTTTAGTAACGATTCACAGTATTCTGTTGTTTCATTTCTCACAGAGTAACATTTGTTGTGGTTTTCTCTCCTCCAGACGTGATCATGGACATGTTCCAGACACCGGCACTCTTCGCGGACTCGTTCAGCAACGCATCAGTGCTGCATGCTTCAGATAGGGAGGCGGATCCAGGCTACTCAAGAAATGGTAAAAAACACTGCAGACAGAAATTAAAAATGAAAACTCTGATTCCTTTGAGGCGATTCACTTAAACTGTAAAGATGGCTCACAAGATCCCTGTGTTTGGCACAAAGTGGAAGTGACATCTGTTTGTTTTAGCTGTCTTTCCATGATGGACCGCTCCACTGCTCCTCTTTCTCCAAGTTTTCCTGCAGCTTTCTGTCTGTTAAATTTTTGTCTTTTGTTGTTGCATTTATAGGAACTGTTCCCTCTTTTCCCAAACCTGCAACCGCAGCCCCGTTCACCATCTTCCAGGATAATGAGGACAAGGAAAACGGCAGGTAAATAAACTGAACCAGACCACCATAGTCAGCAACATCTAAGTCATGGAGATCCTTAAAAAATGATTGGAAAGTAATTTTTTACCAAGTCTGCTTGGTCGGAAATTCTGTTATCCAACAGAGCTGAAGGCTGTGTTTAAAATATATCAATTTATTTTTAATGTTTGTGTAAATGTGCTACTTTTCCCTGTGCTCAGTGCTGCTGCTGCTTCAGTTCAGAAGTCTAAACCAATCAAAGCTCTGGCTGAGATCCCCGTATCCACCAAACCTAACGTGAGTATATCAATCAATCAATCAACTTTATTTCTATAGCACATTTTAAAATAACCACAAGGGTAGTCAAAGTGCTGTACAATGATACATAAAACAAATAACACAAAGAGCAAGATAAAGTGAGCAGAAATACATTAATGCAAGGGGATAAATAAGTAAATAAATAAGCAGGCTCACGGCAGGTGCTAAAATGATAAAAAACAAAGTAACACTAAAAAGTATCAAAAGCCAAGGAGTAAAAGTGTGTTTTTAAAAGGGATTTAAAAACAGGAAATGAGGAGGCCTGTCTGATATTCAAGGGCAACTCGTTCCAGAGCTTCGGGGCAGCAGCAGCAAACGCTCTGTCCCCTCTGAGCTTCAGCCTTGTATATGGGACCGTCAGTAGCAGCTGATCGGCTGATCTTAAGGGTCGGGGTGGGCAGTAAGGCTGGAGCATTTCAGAAATGTAAGGTGGAGCAAGATTGTTCAGGCTTTTAAAAACAAATATTAAAAGCTTAAAATGAATTCGGTACTGTACAGGGAGCCAGTGTAAAAACAGTGACGCCACCCACAGTTATCATGAGTTAGCTGGATCTCAACACAAGCAGGCGTATCGATACACATAAATCAAAGTGATGTGTAGTGAGAGAAATGATAGTTGGAGTGATGCCATCAAAGAGTTTGTCCAGTAGAGGTCAGTCAAACTCCTGAGCCAAGGATCCTCTCTGCAGTGCAGGTTGCAGAGCAGACACCGGTGCTCACAAAATATTCTGTAATATCAATTTTTCTTAAAAAGGCAGTTTGAAAGTTTGAAAACCTTTGCAAAGTCATAAGGGTTTAAAATGCATAAAGAGAGCTTGTAAAATCTCTATTTGTCAGCAGATTATCATCCAGTAAACTTTATCCCCCTGTTGTCAGTTTTAAGAAATCCCACAGTTGCGCTCTGATGGGTTTTCTCCATGTCGTGACTTCAGGAAATCTCAGTCCTTCTGTTGTTTTAACACACATTCAGAGCACATGTTGTCCACAGTGGTTTTTCTGACAGTCTGTGTTTCTGGTCCAGGACACTCCTCCTGACCTGATGCCAGATGAGAGCACCACGTGGGGAGCCCGCTACAACTCCCTCAACTCTCTGGCTGCCTGTCCAAACAGCACCACAGACTTCTGCATGCTGGCTCAGTTCGTCTCCACGCCGTTCACGCACAAAACTCCCGCCAACGGCAACTTTTTCCAGGACCAAGGTGCAGAACCAGAACACAGACTCCTTAGCCACCACCTTCAAACGCCTTTAATATCTGACAGAATACATGACCTGTAGATATTCAGAAATTAACCTTTTATTAAAAATTAACCTTTTTTTTCTCTCCAGAGAATAACTGTGACGGGGGTGACGCTGATGATGAAGCTTTTCTCAGACGTCAGACCAAAAAACTCAGGTAAACATCTAAAAGGACTATATACAGGTGACTAACAGCACAAGGTAGTTAGACAAATATTACATATGTGTGTATATTTATATTCATATATATTCCCAGACTAAGAGAGGACCCTGTTCACTAGGGCTGGGATGATATGCTTTTTTCCCGATTCGATTCTTCTATGATTTTGTTTGTATGCTGATTTGATTTAAATTGCGATTCTATGATATTGTCCATTTTCTTGGTTTTTTAGTCTGCATTTTTAACACCAGTGAAACAGTTGAATGATTATGATTATCTACAGATTATTCCAGGAACCATATTTACCAAAAAAATACACATTACATGTAAGTTAGTTTTAAAGATTTATTTCTTAAATTTTGGGGAAAGAAAATCATTTTTTTTAACATAAAAATCAATTTAAAAACAAAAAAATAACAAAAAAAATCGCGATACTTATGTCAATCGATTTTCTCTACCACCTCCACTGTTAACCCCAGCACGCCCCCTTTTTCAAGATCAGTTTCTGAAAAACTAACAAAAGCTTTGTCGATACAAAGTTCTGGACCATCACTGTGTCTCTCAATCATTCATCCTCTTTGTGGTGGGGTTGTGAGTGACGGTTCAGTCATTAGCAGCTCAATACAGATCAATGGTCCCTTTTATTTTCCTGGACAACGATTGACGATCTGATAATTATGATACTCTTTAAGTGCCGAATGACCTCCACAGACATTTTAAAAATGAAAAACACAGAGAAAAGACAGCAGTCCACACGTCAATAACAGTGTTTTAAGGAAAAATAATCTCCGTCTCTGATTGGTGTCCTCTGTTCCCTCTTTCAGCCCCATCATTGAGCAGAGTCCGTCCAATGAGACACTCTCTGAAACCGCCAACGGTAAACTTGGCCCGATCTCTGAGAGACAGGGCACCATCGTCTGTGAAGGCCTCGCGACCTCCTCCATCACCATGGTGCAGCCCCCACCTCCTGCTGTCCTCTCCTTCAGAGACCACACCATCTGCCCCACCGAGTCCTCCATCCCCAGGACCACAGGACCTAGCTGGGAGGTTTACACAAGTCCGGAGCAGCCTGTGAAACAGGCCTCTATGATCTTACATCCACCCATGAGTTCAGTCAGACCCAGAAGAGAGGCTTTCACCATCATGGAGGATTTAGATGAACCTGCAAGTCGAGAACAAGCACCAAAAGAGGTCTGTGATGTCCCCATGAGTCCAGATGGTGCTCTCAAACCAGACTGGCCACCCATCAGGAGTCCTGAGGTCACGGTCGAGCCCGACCTGGACGCCTTCCTGACTCCCCGTCGTCGCACAGTCCACAACAAGAGCGTGAACGTCCCCATGAGTCCAGAGCAGCTGCAGCCGTGTGCCGACGTGCCCATGAGCCCGATGCACTTCGGCGCCGAGGATGAACCCATGATGAGTCCAGACAGAGGAGCGAGAGCGGGTGCTGATGTGTCCATGAGCGCACCGTCAGAGAGGACAGGATTGGCTCAACTGATGTCCAACCCCTGGGACGATAACCTGATCTATCACCTGCTTTCAACCCTCAGCCCTCCCCTCACCTCTCACCCCGGCTTCATCAGCTGGCAGTGCAACATGCCCAGCATCTCCCCCAAGATGACCATCAGCATGGGTAAGAGGGAACCCTTTATCATGTCCCTGCAGAGGATAAAATATGAGGAATGGAGCTGCTCTGAAGTCTAATTTAGCACGAATGTTGTGATATTGACGGTTGACGTTGTGATTTCCTAAAACGATCAACCAGAAGATGTGTGATCGAACTCAAATATTTTCTCTCTGACAGGAAAAGCATCACTGCGGGTCCACTGTGTTCTTGGAGAAGGAGCTTTTGCGACCGTCTACCAGGCGGCTGACCCTGTGACCTCTGAGAAGGTCGTGTTGAAGGTAAGATGGTGGGGATGACGATGATTTTACCAGCTCCACCCGGCGTGTTTGATCCGTGTCTGTACCGTAAATCCCGTTTATTTCCTCCTCAGCCTTTGACTCCCATCCTTTCTTTATTGGGGTCAAATCTTTTGTTTTGATAGAATTATAGTTTGTGTTTCTGTAGAGTGGTAACAGGATGCAGTGAAACCATGAGAGTCTTGCTCATGTGAAAACCCGATCCACACTCTTTCCCTGTCTCGAACTATTGTGCAGGTCCAGAAGCCGGCCAACCCCTGGGAGTTTTACATCAACACTCAGCTGGACGCTCGTCTGCAGCCTGACGTCCGTCACCTTTTCAACAGCATCCGCTCCGCCCACCTCTTCAGAAATGGGAGCATTATGTTAGGAGAGCTGCACAACTACGGCACCCTGCTGGTACGATCACACCGACAGAGACTCGCTGAGCAAACACAAACTCTGTTTTCGCTGAACTTAAACTGTGTCTCCACCCTCAGAACGCCGTGAACATCTATAAAACCCTGAGCGATAAGGTCATGCCTCAGCCGCTCGTCATGTACTTCACCGTCTGCATCCTGCACATGGTGGAGAAGCTGCACAGCATCCACATCGTCCACGCCGACATCAAACCTGACAACTTCATGCTCGGAGAGAGGTGAAGATGAGTTCCTTTATCTAAAACCTGGACCCTTAAACCAGTTTAATTTAAAAGTTTAAATGTGCAGAAAGTCACTAATGTCACTGTGTTTTAAGGTTCTTGGAGAATAAATGTTTTGACCCGGAGAGCCTGGACCACGGCCTTGCATTAATCGACTTCGGGCAGAGCATCGACATGCAGCTTTTCCCACGAGGCACTGCTTTCACCGGGAAGTGTCTGACCTCAGGGTTTCAGTGCACAGAGATGCTGAGCGGGAAACCCTGGAACTACCAGGTGAGGACACGTGAAATCATTATTTTATCTCCAGAGATAATCCAACCTAACTTTATCTTGAGGAATTTCTGTTTAGAAACATTTAATTGTTCCTGGTTAAAATCTTGTATCTCTTATTTTCTGTGTTTAGACGGATTACTTTGGGATAGCAGGGACGGTGTACTGCATGCTGTTTGGGACCTACATGCAGGTCTCAAATGAAGGCGGCGTCTGGAAGACAAACGGAGTATTCAGAAGGTAATAAGACACTTTTTTTTTTGAGTTAAGTTCACAATGTTTAATCAAGTTTTTATACATTGAAATGAAACTATTTTTATGAACACCCGGGCTTTAAATCAACTTCTCTCTCTCATTCAGAAACCCTCACAGCGACCTGTGGCAGGAGTTTTTCCACACTCTGCTCAACGTCCCGGACTGCAGCTCCCTGCCGAGTCTGCCGAGTCTGCGCTGGAAACTGACCTCCGTCCTGCAGCAGGACTACGGCAGCAAACTGCCCACGCTTAAAAGCCGGCTGCTGGTGCTGCTGTTGGAGAACCACAAGGCGGCAAGGAGATGACAGCAAACGCCACCTGAGGGGTCTGAGACCTTTTATAGTTCGATGTTTTAAAGGCATGGAGGAATTCAGAGTGTGTTTGTGTAAAAACATGTAATTATTATTGTTTTACTTTTTTTTTTTCTTCCATGAGAAATGCTTGAAAATGGACTACTGAGACCATCTTTCTTTGATTAAAATAAAATGAGTGTTGAAGTTTCCCCTTTGTCCTCATAAGTTATAACACTCCTGAGTTTTTCTTTAGTTTTTATTTCTTCTCTCTTTTTTTTAGCCTTTTTAAAACCTTCAGTTTGGTTTGAATCAGTTTTTAAAGCTCCTATGAGGGACTTTTAAAATTGTGGGAATTTTGGCACCCCCTGTGGACAAAGTGGTCTTTGCATGTTTTGTCCCCTACATGTAATCCCCTACATTGAATCTCATTCTGCTGACTTAGTTCATATATTGTGGATACTTTGTGTTAATTGTAAAAACTCAACCATTTCCTTTCCTGTGTGGCTGACACCCCACACACACTCAAAAAAAAATTGTGACATAAAAGTCATCAAACACATCCACAATGGTCTTGTTTGCTTTTGAATATCATTAAAAGTCATCAATATGAATTTCAGTCTATTTCAAAGATGTCAAAAAATCCTCACAGGGGCTTTAAGTATGGATTTTTTTCACTTGAATTCACCACAAAGACAAGTTTCAAACTGATAAACTGTGAAACTCTCGGGCTGTTAATGAGTCCCACTCTGAACTTTTAATTTGCAGCTAATTCCAAAGTGAAACCAAATCTGTATTTCCAATTCCTGAGTCAAATTAACGTGCTGGTGGGATAGGGACAACAGATCTTTGCAACAAAAACAACACACCTGATGTGTTCAGTATCCATGTTTTTAGGGTGGGTTTGTGCCTGCAGAGGGGAATTAGCCGGACTTAAATCTGATTCAGAATCAGGGTGTGTTACTGTCAGTCTGCTGCCTCTCATCCTGAATATCTGAGCTTCGTGTTCAGACTTGCAGCTCAGGTCACCTGCATTCTTCTGCCTGAGTTTTAAAGGGTTCAGACAGCAGGTAAACATGCAGAGTCTGCTCTTCTTAAACTTCAGTTTAACAAGCTGGTCACATGATCAGCACTCAGTCTGTCAATTATAATCATACTCCTAAGAATAACCTTTTACTTCTCATGCCAGGTAAATATTTTTTTACTTTTTTTAACACACCTTGGCACAGAAAAGAACAGTCGAGGAATTTCCTGCACTTTGAGACCTCCTTCAGGGTCAGTCCACACTGTGTGGAACAGGGATCTCGGTGCGTGGGAGCAATGTTAGAAACAGAATTAAGTCTAATTGAACTTTTTCAGTTCTAATCCATGCATCACTTGATGCTGTGGGTGATCTTTTTTCCATTTCTGAGTCAGAGCCTGAATGTAGCAGCAGCAGCAGATCTGTGACTACTCCCCTCTGCTGAAAACCTTGCTGCCTTCAGGTTCTAATGGAAATGTGTTAACTAAGACAAGAGTTTCCTGCAACATAATCAGCTGTGAAGAAGAGATATTTAGGAGCAGTTATAAAAAATGAGTCGTTCATTTTGAGGTTCGTTTAAGCAACATGTTTCAAAACTGTTGATAGAGGAAGAACCAAACAGATTAAAGTTGTTATGGAGGAACAACCAAACAGCTAAAAAGTGAAAGAATGAGTGGATTCCATTATCTAGAGTACATACAAAAGTGACAAGGACAAAAACCAAGACTGGATGGTCCTGGTCTTCAGGCCCCCAGGTTTTATGCCTTTGTGCTCTGAACACTGGGGAGCGTGATGTTTACTAAAACTTTATATTCCAAGCAACACCTGAAGGCAGCACAGAGGGGTGTAGACCGGGGAAACCTGTGTGAGATTGTTCATTCAGAGTGATCAGAGTCATGGAGAGCAGAGGAGCACTGTCAGATGAGGCTGTTTCTGCGGCCTGTATGGAGGGAGACCCCATCACTAAGGTGACTCTGACATTTTCATTTTCACTTGAATTTTAAAGGGATTTCAGTGGTTTTAGTCTCATTTTTCTGCCCTGACTGCAGACTACGTGGTGAGCTTGTAATGCAGTCAAACCTGTTAGAATGAGTCTTCAGACCTGCAGAAGCCTGCAAGCCACACTGACAGCTCACACACTTTAACATTTAGTTCAGAGAGTGAGTTTAACAGCAGGAAGATCCACACTGAGGAGATTTAAGGGAGTTGATTCTTTAAACCTAAGGATAAAAGAGGCTAAAACAATTACATGTCAACCTTGTCAGGAACATTTTAAATGATTCCATCCTATCCAACAGTTCACTCCCTTAAATAATACAAACCAGTTTGAAGTTTGTCTCTTCAAGCAGAAAGTTTCAGTTTCATGTGCCAAGATTTTACGATATCCACTCCTGGGAACTGGAGGATCATCAGTCCAGTTTTTAAGTTACTGTCACTGCTCTCAACTCTGAAATACAGAAGATGTGTAAGATTTAAAAAAAAAAAAAACATGTCCTAACAGCTGTGTTTGTTGACACTTGAGTTCTTCTTTCCTGTCTTTCTTATTTTGTGCAGGACTTCATGATGCAGCAGACTATGCTGAGGGTCAAGGATCCCAAAAAATCTCTGGAATTTTACACTCGGATCCTCGGCATGACGTGAGTCCTCTATCTAAACCTCAAACCTTTAAAAAATAGGAAAAAAATAAATAAATAAAACTGAAAAAATCAGTAAAAGAGATCACACCTCTCTCTTGCTGGTATGTGATTTATATTTTAACAAAAAAGTTCAACCAGAAATCTTTTTGATTTAGTTTCACCTGAGAATTAAATGCAAATGACACTAAATTTTAAGAAATTAACATTTTTCTGATAAAATTTTTAAGAATATAGAAAACACCACAGAGATAGAAACAAAGATTAGTCTTGTTTTTGGTAGGGGACAAGTCAGGACTGCAGGCAGACCAGTTTATAAGCAGGACTCTTCTACTACAGAGCCATGCTGTTGTAATCCCTGCAGAATGTGGTTTAACATTGTCTTGTTGGAATATGAAGGTCTTCCCTGAAAAAGTTTTTGTCTGGATGGCAGCAGATGTTGATCCTAAACCGGTAGATATTATTCAGCAATAACGGAGCCTTAACAGATGTAGTACCATATCAAGCTACCCATGACATGGACTTTGAGGTTGGATTGTCCCTCTTTTCTTTAGTGAGGAGGATGCAGCATCCATGATTTCGACAGGATGGTTTTCTTCTTCCCCCAGGACCCAGAGTTTCTGGATTATAGTCCTATCTGGGTTCTTACTGTTTACCTTTTTGGTTGTTCCTTTATAGCAGGGGTGGGCAATTAATTTTTACATGGGGCCACATGAGAAACCTGAACTGTGTTGGAAGGCAGAAACAACAATAACTTTAACTTCAAATCAAGGGGGCGGCAGTAGCTCAGGAGGTAGAGCGGTCGTCCAATGACCGGAAGGTTGGCGGTTCGATTCCCCCCTAATCCAAGTCTGTCCGTTGTGTCCTTGGGCAAGACACTTAACCCACCTTGCTCCCAGTGTGTGTCCTCCACTGGTGTATGATTGTGAGTGTTGTGTGGTGGTGGTTGGAGAGGCCGTAGGCGCAGAATGGCAGCCACGTCTCCACCACCACCAAAAGTGTGACTGTGTGAGCGAATGAATGATGTATCCAATGTAAAGCGCTTTGAGGGTCTCTGATAAAGCGCTATATGAAATCTGATGCATTATTATTATTATTATTAAGGGGGTTCACACATAGAGAAAAGCAAGCCCAAATAAGCAAGTAGTAGTTAAAAACAAGCCCCAAAAAGTGCACCCGCGACTCACAAGTTTTATAAGTGACTTCTGAGAGAAACAAGCTTAAAGTCTTTTATAATGAGCAAACTTGGCAACTTTAAGGCGTATACGAATATTTTGCCAATGTTTAAACTTTTCTCTGTTCACCAATGCAGATCTAGTATGTACGCACATGCATCCAAACAGAAATCAAACAATGGCTAGGTTTTCAAAATAAAAGCAACACACTTTTATAGCATGTTGATGATTTGATTGACGGATGTGGCCCTTGGGTCGTAAAATGCCCAGTTCTGCTCTGTAGCAACTTTTTTCCTGTATGGTTGTTCTTCCAAGAGCTTTTTACCTGTATGGTCATTCCTGTACTGACCTTTTTGAAAAGTGTTGCTGAACTCAAATTTGATATATTTGTACAAAACAGTTACATGTTTCAGTTTGAACATAAACTCTTCTTTGTCTCCAGTTTGCTGCAGAAAATCGACTTCCCCTCGATGCGCTTCACTCTGTACTTTCTGGGTTATGAGGAAAAATCAGATATCCCTGCTAACATCAAAGAGAGGACAGCGTGGACTTTTTCTCGCAGAGCCACTATAGAGCTCACACAGTATGTATTAATACACATACAAGGAACTTTAAAACATCAGGACTTCTCCTTTTTATTGAATGTTATTCTCTGTTTGTGTCAGTAACTGGGGGTCAGAGTCTGATGAATCTTTATCGTACCACAATGGAAACAACGAACCTAGAGGATTTGGTGAGGAGATTGAATTCAGTAGTTATTTAAACACTTATTTTTAACCACAATGAACTGTTTTTTGCTGTATATTTGCAGATTCATGAGCTCTAATATATGTGTGTGTTGCTTTAGGTCATATTGGCATTGCTGTTCCTGATGTTTATGCGGCCTGTAAACTGTTTGAAGAGCGGAAAGTGAAATTTGTGAAGAGACCAGACTCAGGTGAGATGTCTCATAGCTGTGGACCAAAACAGAGGACAGATCCTCACTGCAGCGCTGAACTTCTTAAGTATCAGCCTTTCTTTATCCTGTCTTTTTAATGTAAATCCAGTCTGCACATGGTGGATTTGAAATATTCCGTCGAACATGTTTGTGGTCGGTATCAGTTCTGGCCAGCAGGAGGAGCTCTAACTCAGATAAACGTCTTAATACTTAGGACTAATGCAGCTCACAGTCTTCATTTTAGGATTTGGTTCTAAAGCAAGTTCCTCTCAGTGTAACCCTGACATTAAAGGGCTAATCCGTAGATTTCTTTTTTGTTTAGATTCCGCTTTTAACATTATGACTAAAAAAAGTGTGTGTTTGTATTGACTTCCATTATCTCCCTTTTTCACAGGTAAAATGAAGGATCTAGCCTTCATTCAGGACCCTGACGGATACTGGATCGAGATTTTAAGTCCAAACAACATGGTCTCACTGATGTCTCCTGAGGAAAAAAACAGTGCTGAAACAAAATAAAGACTTTCTTTCTGTTTGGGACAAACATTTAAAACTCAGACAAACTCTGAATAGATATGGACATTTTATTTTTTATGTGATGGTACTGTGATGTGTTTAAAATATGACTTAAAAACAACAACCAAAGGTCTGAAAGTTAACATCCAGACATGTTGGATAGTCCATTTTTAAAGTGTATCCTGAATAAATGGATAAAGTTATGTAAAAGTCTTCATGTTTTTAGAGTAAATTCGTTAATCTCCTGATTTAAGTCTTCATATTATAAAAAAATAAAGTCATATTCCAAGAGTAAAGTCGTTATGAGATTTGATTGAGTATTTTACAGGATTAAGTTCCTTATATTACTTGATTAAAGTCACTTTACTGCAAGATTTAAGTTAATATGTTACAAAAGTCGTTAAACGGAAAGCATTTCATTGTTGAGAGTACCTGTCTGCAGGCACAGTGGCCAACCACAACCTTCGGTCTGACGAATTGAAGCAGATGCAGCAGACGCAACTGCAGTTCCTTGAGTGTCCACTAGAAACCAGAAACCATGTTCACACAGCCTAGTTCAAAAACCAGCTTCGGTCTGATTAAAGGGATATTCCGGCGTAACAGTATATAGAGGGTCCATAGTACTAGCCACCAAACATCTTTTTAGCTTTGCCTGATTTCTTTAGCAAAGAGACTAAACACAACTCACCTACTCTCTTCCAGCAGCCACTTGTTTGTACGGAGACCTCAGGTGAGTCCATTACCGCAGTGGGGTGACGCAGCTCAAGGACGAACATTTATGATCATTACTTCATCATTTCCTCGAAGTGATAATCTTCAAATTAATCATTTTGCACTGCAGATGCAGCAGTTATTCTGCCTTAGCATCTTGGTCTGATTGCATTTATTTATAAAGAAATGATCAAAAATGTTCTTCCTTGAGCTGCGTCACCCCGCAGCAGTCCGTAATGGACTGGCCCGAGGTATCGCTACAAACAAGTGGCTGCTGGAAGAGAGCATGAGAGTTTTGTCTAGTCTCTTTGCTAAAGAAAGTTAAAAAGATGTTTGGTGGCTAATACTATGGCTGGAACCCTATATGTACTGTTGATGAAGTTAGGTGCTGTTCTGAGCATTTTTGTGGCTATAGAGTGGCGTTTTGTTTGAGCACCTGGCTCCTGGGACCGCTGTGTATTGCTATCCTGTGGTCGTTACTTAAGTTCGGTATAACTAGAGAAGCAAGCGGTCGGCAACATTCATCTATTGACTGGGTGTCTGACTCGATGTTATGGTGTGTTTGACCCTAACTTAGTTTTACGCCAGGGTATCCCTTTAACTCTGGGCTTGGACTGGGAGTGACTTTTCTCTTTCCTCTTCTTAATGATTTTTGTTGATTGTTTTGACCAGGAGACACAGTAATGAAATAAAAGAGGGCTTGTCGCCCCCTGCTGGAGCTGAGGTGGACATGCTTCTGACAAAAAAAAAAAAATGTTTTTGTTTTTTTTCCTCTGTACATGCAGACTGTGACATGATCAGTAGACATGAACAGTTAGATGGCCTAATCCAGCTAAAACCATAGGCAATTTAACTGTGCGTGTAAACCTACAGATTGATTTTCCACTCGAAGGTCAATCACATTAATTTATGGCTTAATGTCATCGCCCACTCTAACTTTAACTCTGTGTCATTTTACTGCCTGTTACACAGAAGTTCCTCACACAGTAAAGTTTAGCTCGAGTGTGTGTGTGTGTGTGTGTGTGTGTGTGTGTGTGTGTGTGTGTGTGTGTGTGCGTGTGTGTGTGTGTGTGTGTGTGTGTGTGTGTGTGTGTGTGTGTGTGTGCTGACCGCTTCATGTCACCTAATTTACCGCCGCTCACTTCAAAGCGGCGTCCCGGCGTGAGAACCGTGTCGGCTGACCGGAGCGGATTTAGGGCCCGCGGATGGTTCCCAGGCCTGTCAGCCGTTAATCCTCCATTCAGCTGGAAGTGACGCCGGTTTCTTCTCTGCACAATTTAACGGCTGCAGCGCAGATTTCAGAGTGTAAATCAGCAGAAGCAAGACGAAGCAGAGGAGTGGTGGATTAACAGGAGTGTGTGTGTGTGTGTGTGTGTGTGTGTGTGTGTGTGTGTGTGTGTGTGTGTGTGTGTGTGTGTGTGATTTTATTCCAATATTAAAGTGTTGGCTGCTGTTACTCACTGATGCAACAGTTTGAAGAAAGACACTTAGGGGAGAGTGGGGTAAGTTGAGCCAAAGCATAAGTTGAGCCACCCACTGTTACTTGAAAATGGTCAAATTAATTGATCATGTGACCAAATATTTAGGAGATGGGCATCAATTCATGGAGTCTGTGAGGGTTAGAAGCACATGGGTGAAGGGGTTAGACATTTGTTTAACAAAAAAACATTTGTTCACTCTTGAAAGTGAATTAGTCTGTCATAAATTTTATTAGAATTGTGTTCAGACCAAAAAAGATTATTTTAAATTTGTTTTATACAACAATTGTGATATCTATGAGCTACAACATGAGGTCAAAAATCTGGCATAAAAATCCACCATTTTAGCTTAGAGGACTAATAAAGTCATCATAGTAGTTCTTGGGTAAGTTGAGCCAGTGGTTCAACTGAGAAAGTAAAGGAGTCTGATGACAGGATCAGAGTTTCAGTTCAGATTGTTAAAATGTGTTACTTTTTCTTTTCTAAAATACAGCTGTGAATGTTCTGAATCACTTAAAGGCATTCTCGTGTTAAAATGACTTTTTATAAAACAGCTTTTTAGAAGTTATATGCAATAATAATAATAAAAATTATTGTCCCAGTTGAATAGCGTATAATAGATAAAAATACACATGAATGTGAAGAGGTGACTGTTATTTAGGGAGAGAGAAGGTGAGGGAGGGCTGGGGTGGAGAGTGGGAAAGATACGGCTCATCTTATCCCGCTCCTATGGTCAACTTACCCCATACATAGGGTAAGTTGACCATAGGAGACCACTTTTTTAGCATGCTATATTATCAAGACATTTATATTTACACTCATTCTGTTGGTTTGCAGGGATGCACAACATCTTGAAATATATGCAGATAAACTAGTTAGAGACAAAACTATGATTGCCTTGATGTAGTGATCCGAAATGTGAAAAAATGGCTCATCTTACCCCACTCTCCCCTACTGTTATTTCAGCAAAAGATCATAATTGTATTCTTACAGATATGATCCTGTATTTTGTAAGGTCAACTTTACACGCTACACTCTCACTGCACTCCAACTCACCATCTCTCATTTCCAAATGTGCAGCCTGCTCTAAACTGTGATGCAAGTCTCTCTGTCACTTCAGTTTTAAAGGACCTTAAAAGGAGTCGGAGATAATTTGGAAATAATTTTACATTTCAGGTGTTGAAGCTGTTTTCTTCACATAGAAATAGTCCACACTGCACAAAAAACACTAACAACTGAGCTGTCCGTGACTGCAGAGATGTAACTACATCTTTATTTGTAAAAAGGCACTCATGTTCAGATACAGTTAACACCGACAGGACTGAAAACAGAAAAGAGGGGCTGGGTTCAGCGTGATCAAAATAACATCTGAGATTTTATTGTTTTGCAGATCTTTGGTGTTTTTGTCACAGTGATAATTTTTAAAAGTGATATCTGGTGTAATTCCTCTTCTTGTTATCAAAAATATCCAAAGAAAAGACTCAAATCAATGTGTTAGACCATCTCTTGATACTCTGTCAAGAACAGAAAAACTATCACATATATCCCTCCTGGTGTAATAAAAACACAGGAACCATCGGTTACAACACTCATTGTTTGTTTTCTTATTAAAACAGTCGAGTGAATCAGAAGAGACACAGAAGCTATAAGAGACCTACGCTGAAAAACAACTGATGTGAATGAGTTAATTACACTTTGTTAACATTTTTTGGTCTGCATGAAGTTCAAAGCTCACCTGCTAATGTCTGACAGTGATATGAACCTGCAGGAACAGATGGCACTACACTGGATAGTAGTCTACTCTCCATACAGACTGTTTTTCCCATAGAGACCAAGAACAGACTCGATGTTTTTATACAAAATAGAGTTCAGATTTCCTGTCATCAGTTCGCTGCTGGTTAGAGATTCTCAGGCTGTTAAAGGAGTCAGTTTGTCAAAAGGTCAAAGGTTAGTCTGCAGCAAAATTGGTCAGAAAGCTCCGACCTCAGTCCCCCACGGCCTGTATGGTTTACTGCTGCTCAGAGGAGTCTGTGAGGAAGAGGAGGAGGAGGAGACGGGAGGACTGCTGGTGGCTGTGGAAGAAGTGAAGGAGCAAGGGGGGAGGAGGGGAAAACCTGAGTGAAGGGTAATGGGAAAGGATGCTGAGAAGGAAAGGAGGGAGGAGGAGAGAGGAGTGGGAGCGCAGGGGAAGACAAGGGATGTGGAAGAGGAGGAGGAGGAGGAAGGAGAGTTAGAAGAGGTGGAGTCAGCATAGGAGGTAACACCACGCTGTGACAACTCTGCCAGCCTCTGCGGGGCTCCACCTCCTCCTGCAGCGTCAGGAGAAACTGGAATCCCGCTCAATCCGTACGGCGCCGCGGCAGGCCGAAATGCAGCCGCAGTGGCGACGGCAGCAGCCCAGTGGTGGGGGTGAAAAGGATGAGGTAAGGGGTGAGGCTGCTGGAAGTGAGGATGTGATGAGGTCACAGTGAGGGCGGCGGCGTCACGCTGCGAAGCGCAGGACGAGAGGTGGGAGAGGAGGCGAGAACGAAGAGGGTCGCTGGAGTCCAGGCCCTCCACGGCGCTCAGGTAACGGGAAACCTCTGTCACGCACTCCCTGAAACCCAGAGAGAGGAAGTCCAGAGCCAGAGCGTGGGCATCAAAATAACCTGCAGAGAGTGAGCGACAGAAAGAGAAAGAGGGAGAGAGGGAGAGAGAGAGAGAGAGAGAGAGAGAAAGAGAGAAGGTAGTTATATTCTGACATTTGAAATAGACATGCATAGGGTTGGGCATGGAGTCTCGAGCATCGATGGGGACCTGGACTAACATTTCGATTCTCCCGGAATCGTTCACATTTTAAAATTTCAATTCCAAGTTTCGATGCCGGAGTCCGCCGACCGGAAGAAATAGCCCCCGAATGCTTACAAAGAAGACGCCGCTAAACACCAACGAAGAAGAGGCCGCCGAACACCAAGGAGGACGAAGCCACATAGAGAGAGAAGAGAGACAGAAGGAGAGAGAGTGCATTGCAACCCAGAGCGGCTGCAGTCAAAAGTTTGGCTAACTTTAGCAGGAAGAAAAATAAAATTACTTCTGTCTTCTGCTAACTTTGAAGTGGCAAACAAATTGTACTGTGTACGGTGGGTCAACTTAAATATCCAACTAACGTTAGCCCTTGTACTTTTTCATAGACAAACGACCTGACAACAAAACCTGATATTTATATACTGGTTGAAAATAGCCCTGTGAGAAATTTATAGTTTTTAAAAAGTTAAAAAAATTTCATCCAAAAAGAAGAACTCTGGTTAGCACCCTCATTTAAAGAATCAGAGGAGAGAATCGTTAGGAACCGGAATCGAATTGAGGAATCACAATCAGAATCGGCACCGGAATTGTTCAAAATCAAACGATACCCAACCCTAGACATGCTCTGCTGCTTTAACCTGTTAGATTTTCAATCATACATAACTGTGATGTATCAGCATTAAAACTGTTGAGATATCACAGTTTAAAATAACCTGACTGAGAAGCAGCATGTATATAGAAATTGAAAGGGGCCAGAAATGGAGCCTTGGGGTACACCACCATAGAAAAAAAGTCATCCAGGTATGCGAGTAACCCAGCACATCAAAAAAAAGATGGATAACACTTGATTTTACTGCTAATGTGAGGATAAATGTTTGTAAATGGACCATGCAAAAGTTATTTTAATGAATATAGTTTTTACAATAACCAGTAAATCAAGTTTGTGTAGATTTCATTTCAGAGAAATCAAAAGTCTTGTCCTTTTTTCAGTAAATATATCAAATATAAACATGTCTGTGTTTAAACATTGAACTCTAAAAAAGCGCATCAAAGAGCAGAGTACATTTAAAAATTTTACAAATCTTACATAATTTCCAGCTCTGAAACATCCACAGGAAACTTTTCCATGTGAAACTGTGACGTGGATGTTTTCTGCAGCGATCAGCTGACTCTGAGTTTACTCTGTCCGACTTCACACACTGCCTGAAAACCCAAACAAACGCTGCTGAGAGACGGCCTGTGAACGCAACCGGGACTCACCCTTCTCCCCCATTACACCCCCACCTCCCGCCGGCTCTATGAAAGCAAACAGCGCTGCTCAGGGTCAAGTGGTGCTTTTATCCCTGCAGTGCTTTCCCATGGACTCACCGCCTCCCTCTGTCACTCACACACACACACTCACACACACATACTTCTTTCAACAGTAAAACTGATTGACAGGCTGTTTGACTGACACACACACACCAACACTCTGATGAACAAAACTGACTCTAACTCATAAAAATAAATCAGTTAAATGTGACAATCTGCAACAACCAGAAAGATGTCCACCGGGGGAATCTTGCTGCAAATGCGAAAACGATGCAACTTCAAAATCAAATGCTGCAAACAATGCAAAATAAAACTGCACAAAATCAGAAAACAACTGCAAACCCAGACTTCAAAATCAAAGTGCCAGAGCCATGTGTCTGCAGATCCAAGGGACTGCAGATTCAAGACCACAAGTTTAAGACAACGTTGTTTGCAACAGCACCACCTAGTGAATCAATAATGGCCTAAACCTGTTCCAATACAAAGTACACCTCTTCACATAAGCTTTAAAAAGTACTCAGGGTTAAAAAAACAACTAAAAATTTAACATAGAGGCCGACTGCAAAGAGACCAATAATAAGGTGCATCATTTTTACCCTTCCCTATACAACACACTTTCTACAAGCATGTAGCTTAAAGGGATATTGTGGCATAAAATTTAGTTAGGGTCAAACACACCATAACACTGAGTTAGACACCCCGTCGAGAGACTAATGTTGCAGACCGCTTCCTTCTCTAGTTATACCAACTTAAGTATTGACCTCCCAATAGCAATACACAGCGGACCCAGGAGCCACGCACTCAACCAAAACGCCACTCTATAGCCATGAATAATACTCAGAACAGCACAACATCTTTTTAGCTTTGCCTAATTTCTTTAGCAGAGAGACCAAACACAACTCACCCACTCTCTTCCAGCAGCCACTTGTTTGTACGGAGAGCTCAGGCGAGTCTAATACCGCGGCGGGGTGACGCAGCTCAAGGAAGAACATTTATGATCATTACTTTATCATTTCCTTGAAGTAAAAATCACCATATTAATCATTTTGCACTGCAGACGCTGTAGTTTTTCTGCCTTAGCGTCTTGGTCTGATTGCATTTTCATGAAGAAATGATCATAAATGTTCTTCCTTGAGCATGCTAAAAAGATGTTTGGGGGGTAGTTCTGTGGCTGGGACCCTATATGTACTGTTGATGAAGTTAAGTGCTGTTCTGAGCATTATTTGTGGCTATAGAGTGGCGTTTTGCTTGAGTGTGTGGCTCCTGGGACCGCTGTGTATTGCTATTGTATGATCGTTACTAAAGTTTGTATAATAATAATAAAATACATTTTATTTGTACTGCCCTTTACATCAAGTGACCTCAAAGGGCTACATCTTAAAAGCAGAGAAATTTCACAGTAAAAGAATATAAAAACAGGTTAGCGGTTTAAAAAAAAAAACGAGAAAAATCTCATTAAAAGAGTAAAAGCAAGATAAGCAGGGTTTTTTTTTTTTTTCCTAACAAGAGAAGCGAGCGGTCGGCAACATTAATCTCTCGACAAGGTGTCTAACTCAGTGTTACGGTGTGTTTGACCCTAACTTAATTTTACGTTGGAATATTCCTTTAAATGAGGAACACATTCAGACTCTTTCAGGTGCAGCTGTGGCTCAGCAGGTAGCACAGGTGGGTCGTTAATCTGAGGGTCACTTGCCTGCGCAGGGTGCTAAACCCTTTGGCTCACAGTCTGCTGTAAATCGGTGTGAATAAGGGCGATACATGCATCACAGTGTTTTAGTGCAAGTGTCTGGGCTGAACTCAAGGTAAGGAAATAATGAACGTAAAAAAAAAGAGCATGAACTTTATCTTCACGTTCAGCAGAAGATTTTTAGTGAGATAGACCAGATTTACCTTTCCCACCTGTGGCCTGCAGGACCTTCAGGTGATCCACAGTCATCTGCAGGATCTCAGCTTTCTCCAGTTTGGCTGAACCCTGAGAGGAAGGGAAACACAAATTGAGTGTGTATGTGGTTTCTCATGCCTCTGCAGACAGCCTCAAGTGGACACTCGGGGGACTGCAGTTTTCAGCACATCTGCATCCGCTCCAGTTCTCAAAACCACTCGTTTAGGGTGTGGGATGAGTTTGAGCACAGCTATGACACAGAATTGTAAAAAGCAGTTAGAAACTTTGATTCTCTTCGTTTTTGGTACATTAGATGCAGATGCTGCAGATTTTTGTAGTTCAGACTGTGACTGAGACATTTATCTTCCTTGTTTTTTTGCAGTGTAATCTGCAAACACACACCAGTGTCCTACTTTTCTCCAGAACATTTGATGGCTTAATAGGTCAAAGCTCAGAAGATTTGGGGAATTAATTTTGAAGAGACTTTTTTGTAGAACTCAGGTTTGAATGGAGCAATAACTGAACTACACAGAAGAAATATTCTTAATATTTTGACTATTTATGTTGAGTATTTTCCTCTCTAGGATGTGCACGCCTCTTAAGTGTGGTGTCTTTTCATCAACTCAGTTTATAAAGTCGTAGGTGAGTTTAAAAGTCAAAGATTCTCACCTGCTTCTCGTATGCCGTGGGGACGAGCCTCCGTAACTCAGACAGACTGTTGTTGATTCTGTCTCTGCGTCTCTTCTCGATAATCTGAAAAATTAAAAAACAAAAAAATATAAAACCTGACTATCTTTAATTAGTCCACCAATCATCTTTATAAACCCAAACGTTAACCCACCCCTCTGCGCTTTTTCCTCGCCATCACTTGAGTCGTTGTCGTCGGTGATCCACACCTTATAAAGGACGTCTTCATGTGCCTGAAAAAACAAATTACAACTCAGATTCAACTTCTCAAACATAAAATTCTGCAGAACTGATCATTTTCAGAGAGATTTGAGGCTTTCTTTTCCAAAAATAATCCTGACATAATAAACAAATCTATATTTGTACACAAATACTGAAATTCTTCTGGTTTTAGGTGTTTTTGAGCATCTAGATGTCACAGATGTTTCCAGCTGCAATTCTCTGAAGTGTTTTTATAATATACTCTGTTATACAGGTATTTGTGAGGCAATTTTTCATGATTTTTTTTTGTGTTTTTTGTCCACACACAAACCCTGACTTTAACTCCAACACAGTATTTGAAATCTGAGGTTACTTTAAAGACCAAAAACATGTTAATGTACCCAGTAATACATACAATTTTAAAGCATGCTGTGTGTTGAGAGTCTGCAGCATCTAAACTTTTTTATCTACACACTACAAACAGTTTAGTCTTATTTCAAACAAAAATGTCTTTTCAGACTAAATATATACTTTCACCTGACAGATATAGAGATTTTACAGTAAAGTGCAGATAATTGAGGTTATTTCATATTTTGCATGGCATTAAATAAAGATGGATGTTTGAAACAGAAGAAATAGTGTATTTTAAGGGTAATTTAAGTAATTACTTGGTTAGCTGTAAAGCCTCACATAGGTAGGCTATTCTTTATGCACAGTAATAGTCAGATTCAAACATGTCTAATATTGTGCAATAACTAAACATTAAGTGCTCTTAAGAGCTTTTTCCACAGATCTCTCTCTGCACAACAATAAACCAGAGTAATAATAATAATGCTTTGTTCAGAGATAGGAGGTAAAACTTTATATCTGACTTGTTGACAATGAATGCATTATGATATATGTGCTTTTGTAGATCTTTTTGGATAGTAAAAAAAAAAATGCAAAAACTAATTTTAAGCCTTAAGATGCAGAAAATGGAGTTTTAACAATCTTCACATGTCTGAAATGTAACACAAGGAGCCTGCCTGGCCTGCTCTTGGCCTATTTCTTGTATTTATTTCAATTTCATCGATTTAAAATTTATTGAAGCTTTCCATTAGGGTGTCTGATAAAGTAATAAACATATTTTTGCTGTGGACTCACCCGGGATAAACGCTCTCTCTGCCCACATCGATGGTCTCCTCCACGTCGCTCTCCTCGGAGCTGCTCTCCTCACATGGCCGCTTCATGGTGCACGGAGGGCGGGGAGAGCTGACCGTCTCTGCCCGAGTGTGGAGGTGCGTAAAAAAAGTTGAAAATGAAGCTACCTGTTGTTTTTGATAAACTTCCCCACGATTTTTATTTGATATGAAAGCTGGAAGAATAAAAGAACAGAAAACAGAGGGTGAAATCAGTCTGAAATATGAGCTGTCATATCCATCAATAACGATCGTTTTTGGTCCTCAGAGGCGTTCAGGGTTATTTTCAGGTTGCCAGTTTGAGTGATTTGAAAGTATTTTAAAGACTCTTTTGGGGAGTTACACGGTCCTTCAGGATCATTACACGAGTCTTGGAGGGATTTTCTGTTTGATCCAGTTGATGTTGATAAAGCCTCAGGTGAGTCTCCTCCAAGAAAACTGGATCTGAAAAAATAAAGCAGCAATATTTTCCCTCCAGCAGACCTCTCAAATATTTATCCCTCTTCCAAAATGTGCATGAATCCGAAAAAAATCTGTTGATTAAACTTAGAATCTCCCAGTCAAAAGGTTTAAAATGACATAAAAAGATCCTCCAGGAATAGTAATTCTCAGCGGTGTGTGTCCGGTGGTCTGTCCGGGGCAGGTGGCCCGTGTGTCGGCTGCAGACTGGACTGCAGACCGGTGTGTTCTCCTCCTCCTGTGGTGGAGCTTTCCCACGGAGCCCGGGAGCCACACACACACACACACACACACACACACACACACACACACACACACACACACACACACAGTCCCTCCCACATGCTCTCAAACACAATTTAATAGGAAAGATTTTTTTTGCAGTCACTCTGTCTGCTGTGTTTTTTTGTGTGTTTGTGTTATTAATCGTTGCATTTATTTAAGGTTATGAGTTTATTTAAATACTTTCAAAGTCTTTTTTTGTTCAAGTGTTAAAGCTGTTAACAGAATTAGTGATCTGATTATGTGAGTTAGTTTTTAAAACACTACAGATCAGTTTATCAGCAGGACTCTTCTACTACAGAGCCATGCTGTTGTAATCCCTGCTGAATGTGGTTTGTCATTGTCTTACTGAAATATGAAGGTCTTCCCAGAAACAGTCTGTGTCTGGGTGGCAGCAGATGTTGCTCCTAAACCTGTAGATATTGTTCAGCATTAATGGAGCCTTCACAGATGGAAGAAGATACCCATGACATGGACTCTGATGATCTCCATACCATCAGGGATCCTGGCTTTGGACTGGGAGCTGAGAACAAGCTGGGTGGTCCTTAGAGAGGAGGATGCAGCGTCCATGATTTCCAAAAAGAATGTCAAACTTTGTCAGACCTCAGAACAGTTTTTCTCTTATCCACAACCCAGCTTAAATGTGCTCAGGTCCAGAGAAGTCTCCAACTTTTCTGGATCATGATCAAAGTCAATGGTTTTTGAAGTGATTTTGAGCCCATGCAGTGATTTCCACCCCAGAGTCCTGTCTGTTTTTAATGCAGTGCTGCCTTTGGGCCTGAAGATCAGGACCACCCAGTCTTAGTTTTGGTCCTTGCTCTTTTTGTACAGAGATTTCTCCAGATTCTCTAAATCTTTTAATGATATTATGTACTATACATCGGTGGTTCTCAACCGGTGGATCCCAACCCAAAAGTGGGTGGTGGACACGTTCTCGATGGGTCACGAACAGCTGATCAAAAAAGTAAATATTCAATGCAATATTTATTAGATATTCGATATTTTCTGTATATGCAACTTCAGTAGTTGTCGTCCTCATGTTGTTCCCTTCATGTGCTCTGAAATGCACTTAACTCGATAAAACAAGTGGATTTATGTTAGAAATTAGAGTCTTAAAAGTTCTATTTTCTATGAAAAATTAATTTACTTGGTTTAAATTCTATAAAAGTGGGTCGCGACTTAAGGACCATGGGAAAATGTGGGTCCCAGAGTGAGACCAGTTGAGAACCACTGCTGAAGAAGATGAAATCCACTCTGTCTTTCTTATTTGATACACAGGAACATTATTCTGAAACTGTTGAACTATCAGCTCACGCAGTCTCTCACAGAGTGGTGAGAGATGGTCGAGCATGCTCACATACCGAAATCCTGCATGGACCCGTCTGTGTGTCCAGAGTCCAGACAAACAGAGCCAGAGATAAAAATAGAGAAAAGACACCAACACTGTGTGTGTGTGTGTATGTGTGTATGTCTGTGTGTGTGTAAGACATTCCCACAGCTCCTTGCTGTGTACACTGAAACCCAATCATCGTGTGAGAGAGCTCACACACACATACACATACACACACACATACACATATACACACACACAAACACACACACACTAGCGGTTGTCTTTTCACACTTGTTAATCTTATAGCAATACAACAACGATTTAATGCAGGAGTTATAAGACACACACACACACACACACACACACACACACACACACACACACTCCCATCGTTTATCTGCTCTCTCTTCTACCAGCTGATAACCTCAGATAGATGTGTCAGCACCTTCTCATACACTCCTCCTCTCCTCTCCTCCTCCTCTTCCCTTTCCTCCTCTCAACCTTTTCCTTTAATAAACCAGTTTGAGGATTTTTCATGAATGACTAAACCACTGATAAAAACTTGATTGTCCACTCATGAACTCCTGATAATTTATGGACATGTTCGGGTCATGAATTTTCACAGATTTACAGACTATCGGTTCAAGGAGAACTTTTAAAACCCTCCAACCGCTCACTGCCTCTGAGTTTCAGAGATGTTTAAATGTTTCTGGAAATATACATATATTTTTTTAATTTGGTGAAATATTTAAATGTATTGTCAAAGTATTTGCTTTTCTTGATTTGTGTCTTTTGCAAATACAGTATTTTTGCCTTTTATAAAACGATATTATATCTATAAAATATTCTTGAGTTTGCAAATGATATTATGGATTTTCTTTTTTGTGTTCCAGTAAATGTTTTAGTGTTTTGCAATTAGAGATTTTAGTTTTTTTGACTTGTGTGAGCATTTTTAAAAATAATGACTTTGAGTTTCTTGAGACAATTTTTAATTTTCACGACACAAAACTTTTCTCGTACAAATTTTTTGGTGTTTTTTAGGTCAATAATTGTTCAAATTTTATGGATCCATGAAGTTTTGGAGGGTTTCATGATATGTTTAAGAAAGTTCATGAAAACTTTTCTGCATTTTTGCGAAACAGTCCTAAATTTGTGAAATATATTGGCATTGTGTCAACATTTTTTGGAAAAAGGTTTTTGTTTCTTAAACTCATATCTTTATTTTTTGGCAACTCGACAGGGCTTTTTTTTTTTTTATTGTAATAAGGTTCAAAGTCTTATAAGGCTTAATGTTTGATAAGGGGGGTGGCCTCTTTGAGGGATATTAAAGCTGCTAATTCAGTCACATGGTTTCATCCCAGGCAGTCTGTCTCTCTGTTTGGATCCAGGAAATTACAACATTTCAACATTTTATGGACTCAGGAGTCAAGGTTGATACAATGGATACAAATATTAAACGCGAGAAAGTCGTACTCCCTCCCTCAAATAATTTTGAAACTCAAAGACAAAGAACACACACACACACATACAATGTGAGTGTGTATGTGGATGGTATCAGAGGTTTATTGGTGTCGGGGGTCACAGAGGACAAGCAGGGCCATCCTATAGCAGGAAACATCAGGGGGAGCGAGGAACATCAGTGTGTGTGAGCAGGTTATATCTCAGGGAACGTCGTGGGGTCGGCCCGCCACACCGTGAGTCGGAAATCCTTTTCAAAACGAGAACATGACCGGAAACTGTGTGTGTGTGTGTGTGTGTGTGTGTGTGCAGAGGGAGTGAGAGAATGGGAGGAAGTGGTGTATTATTCTCGGTAAGTCGCTGCTCGCTGCCCGTCCGTCACCACGACGCCTCAGACCTCACACCACTCAGGCCTTGGTTCCCACAGGACCTCCAGCGTGCACACACACTTACCCATACACACACACAGACACACACACACACAGAATTTTTTAATGTTGGTTGTTTCATGTACAAACTCCATAAAGTTTTGTTTGCTGAGTTCGTAGCTCTCAGTTGAACCTGCAATTAAATTTGCAGTTTCATCTCCACCACAACTCAGGTAGGCGAGCCTGCAGACTGAAGCTGATGCAGATCCTCATGCAGTCTTTCCTTATCAGACAGAAGCACTGCTGCCAATCTGGTGTATATGCACTATGTATGTTGTTCTTATATTGACATTAAGTGCCAGAAACAGTGAACATGTACATCTGTGACAGAAAAGAAGAAGAACAAATCTTTATGGTTCTCAGAATCTGTTGGACCAGGATAGAGTTAAATGGAGGTCTCTGGTAAATTATGAAAAAATCCTGTCGTCAGTGTTTGGTGAGGTCTGCAATTTACTCAAATTTGTCAACATTTATGATTGAAAACTTTCGTTATTTCATGACTTTGAGCAGAATACAGGTTTGTCCACTGGAGTTGACATCATGAAATATCTTAATGATATCTTAATGGTATCTGAGGCTGTGAAAGCCTGAATATTTCTATTAACAGTCATTGAAATAAAGCCTTAATGCCTGACATCTACTCAAGTAAAGAAATAATCCGTCCAGATTTCCTCCAGACATAAGAAACAGTCTACCTCCATATTTGGGTCAGTTTTTACACTTCCCACTGAGGGTGCAAAAGAAGAGCTAAACAGGGTCTGACTAGAATAAAGTTTTCAGTGTTAAGAGGTTGAAGAGGTTCAGTGTGTTTAAGTGTGTGTGTTTGGGAAGTGAGGAGTCCTTTAGCACATTCATCAGCCTCTTTAATGCACTCCCACAGACTGTATGAATGTCTGTTGTTTGAGGTATAATGCTCTATTGTTGGGATGGAGGAAACCTGCAGACACGTCCTCAGGGAGCGTCGTACTACCAACCTGCAGGTGCTCAATACTCCACTTCCTTCCTGTCAGCTGACCCGTCAGGACACGAGAAAGGAGTGGGGAGAGTGTGTGTTTGGGTTTGACTGAAAAGTGAAGAAAAGAAGAAGAAAAGAAGAAGAAGATGAACAACTTCAGGGTAAAAAACAAACTGAAACCTCAGCGAGTGTTCGTAGAGATCCAGAGGCCGAAGACGGAGGTTAACGTTATCATTCCTGAATGTGAAGAGTCTTTTCAGAGCTCACTTGACCTCTGACCTCTCTTCCACGTCTCCTCTAAATAGAGGTCAAGTTAAACAGAAGTGGTCAGATACAGAAGCTCAAAAACACTCTGAGGGAAAACAACTTCAAATAGGACCATGTGGTTCATGAAGGAGTGGTTTACTGATGGATACAAACCGACATTTTTAACGGACATCACAGCAAATTCAATTTTGTGTGTCATACTGAGGCATCCCAACAATTCAGTCTGTTTAATAACAGCTCAAAACTGCTCTCAGGACCCTTTATTTTATCAGAGGAGACGAAGATGAAGACGAGGATTTCCCAGCACTGAGGTGTTTGAGTGTCTAAGAGGCTTGAACCTGTAATCTCTGACACGTCAACACACTCTGGAGAGCGTACGGGAACCCTCAGGCATCTGTAATATGTGTGTGTATGTGTGTGCGAAGGTCCTGGTCCAGGTGCTGGCGCATACCTGTCACCAAAAACCACCATGACACCTCCCATCAAGAGTCTGTTAACACCACAACACACAAACACACTTTGGTTGGCATTAC